ATGCGAGAATGAAGCCAGTCAAAGGGCATACTGCAGGAGCCAATGGGCAGTCAGCTACACAAGTGGCTGCAATAAGGACTTGATAGATCTCGGGTTCCTTGATTTTGGTTGCCCACTGTACCGGCAACCCAATCTGAGCACACTTGTCACGAAGCCGTTGCACAACCATAGGATCCAGTTGTGCATGGAGCTGTTGAGATAGCTCCAAAGCTTTCTCAATGTTTTGAGCCTTTTCCGGGCCCACTTTGGACTTAACATTCTTCAGCCACTTGGAAATGTTCGACTTGGCCACCCCTTGAGTAGGAAATTGATGGAAAACTCGGGAAGTGACAATGGCATCAGGATCCAGAGCCTTATCCACAAGCTCTTGTGCAGGATTTGCCACTGGGGCCTGAATCGGCAACGCGTTGATTGCAGCAGTTTTACTGCTCAATCGCATACGCTTGGCAGGAGGCTGACTCATGGCTGCAGGGTTGGGAGTAGAATTCTTAGCCTTTTCAGCTTCCAATTGGGCCTGAAGGTCCGCAATACGCTGACTCTGATCTGCAAAAGACGATGAACCAGTAGAACTTCCAGCAAAAGGACGAAGCGTATCCATGATGTGATTGGACAACGCAAGAGTTCTAGCTGCTTTTACTTCGTCCGAGCTCATAGAGCTCTTGATGGAGACTTTGTCTGGATGCTGTCTACAGTATTCAGCGGAAACCTCATCGAGGTCCCAGCGGCTTTCTCTCACAGAACTGAGAAACTGCGAAATGAGCACAGACTCGCTAACACGACGTGCAATGACTACCGAAACATATTGTCCGTGGCTTAACGCGCGGAGATGGTTGTTTCTCCATCCCTTCCATAATAAGTCAGTAACACGCAAATCAGCAAGCTCACGGCCTGCCAGGCGATATTTTGTTGCCCAGCTTGTAGCCGCTACACGTCTCAACATGGTCTTACCAAAGACCTCCTTGGAGTCTAGATGAGTTTTGTCTGGCTTAAACTCATCCGGCAACCCTTCAACATACGGAACTCCAGTTGGGGATCCGTAATCCCACTGTTGCTGCTCATTCCATTCACTCTTCCTCTTCTCAGGAGTTTGCCATCCCGATGAGCTCCAGCTACTGTTGGAAGAATGCGAGTTGGATGCCCATGACGTTGATTGCCAAGCTTTCCACGACATGATGAGCAACGATGCGCAGTTGAAATGGGAGGACTGGGCCTGATGCTTGAAATCACTGCAAGACCAACAACGAAAAGAAATGTAAAGAATGTTTTTGTACTAAGTGCACAGGCAAATATCCTACAGGCTCAAAAGTCTTTTCTGGCTCTCAGGACATAAGAACAACCCAGTCGATCTTGGCAAGATCCACACGAATTGCCCAACGCTTGTCGGTAGCTTTGCTACGCACTAGTCCAGCGCGAGTAGCTAAATTTAGCTCTACCCAGGTGGAAGACCAAGGATACCTGGTGTGACCACCGACAATGCAGCCGCTCAGCATCACTCCGGATTGTTGCTTCGTGTGGTTGAAAAGAGCGGAACACTGCAGCACAATCTCCTCAACGGTCTGTTGTTGGTCTGTGTGTTTCAACAACGAAAAGAAAGCGGAGACTGGGTAGTCGAGCGGTAAGCCCATACGGTCAGTTGCGCTGGGCAATATAACTCCTGTTTTGAGTATGCCCAGGAGTCCTTGCGGACTCGTCATGTGGTAAAACTGATAATATGACTCACCTGTCGCACGTTGGGTGTTAGGGCCAGGAAAGTTTCTGGTACGTCGTGCCCAGATAATCCTGCCGCTTGCAGTTGTAAAAGAGCGGCCAGACGAAATGAGGCTAGCAGGCTGGTACCCCAACGTATGCATGACACGAGATAAAGTGTCCACCACTTTGTCGCGATGCTCATGTACTTCGCCATACGTTGAAAGTAGCTCATGTAGCCAGCGGGGCCATCGTGTCAACTCACTTTCCGTAAACTGCTGCATACGCTCAAACTCTTGCTGAGTAAACTGCTTGCGTTGGTCCATAGTGCGAAGATTTGCAAACTCGAAAGGATAAAAAGAGGCCTTTGGGAACCTGAGTAGCTGGGACTTTACCCAATGTTGGCCTATCATAGTTCAGCGGTATCATGCTGGCAAGTCGGATGGAATAGGACAAGTCGTCCTCATCAGCATTTTGCGCCGGATATGATTTGGGCGCTCCTTTCTTGTTGCTAATCGTATCGTCCAATACCCAAGACGACGACGCAGTACTCAAAGAACTAGGTGGAGGTATACTAAGATTCAGAGCTCTCTGCAGAAATCCTGTAATATTGCCAGCCGAAGAATGAAAAGGCGAAGATGTAGGCGCAATCACTCGAGGCACATGCCCGGCACTTCTGCTTGGAGTGGGGCCTGTGAGGGTGGTGATGGCTGGTGTTGGTGGTGGTGGTGGTGGAGGTGGTGGAAAAGGTGGAGGTGGCAGTGGAGGTGCAAGACTGGTGAAGTCCATGGCAGGTGGGTTGCTGGTAATGTGAGGTGGTGGCTGAGGATTGTCTGCTCGTAGACCTCCGGGTGGTACATCTTGTATTGCAAGAGTTACACTTGACTCTGCATTCTGAGTTACAGGGGTGCGAAAATTTGCACCAATCCACTGAGAAGGCGGGTAACTCTGTCGTAAGTTGTACTCCTCACGCGGGGGCTGCTGAATAAACTCTGAGCGTTTTGCCACTGCATCGGGATCAATCCATTGTCCCGGTGGTGCTTCAAAAGATCTGCTTCGATGACGTCTGCTTCGTGAACGGCGTTCACGGCGTCTCGGTTGATCAGATAAAGCTCGAAGATGTTCGGTAGTACGAACAGTGTGGCCAGCGTTTGCCGACTCATAGAAATGAAAGTTGAACACAGGGGCCACGGCACGCAAAACTAAATTCAAAGTGGTATCAGAAAGATGACACGTAAGAATGCACAGCTGTGAAGTAAATGTTGATGGAACTAGTGAAAGAGCAAGATAGCGTTGTTGACGAGCCCATGCTTCACAAATAGAACAAACTCTGCATGCCATGAGACTGTCGAGTCTTGTATCTCTCGAAAAAAGGCTTGCATTCGGACTGCATGTTTTTTCGTTACGGCAAAGTTGCTCTGATTCCTGCAGGCTGAGAGCGATTACGCTAAAACTCAGCAAAGACGAATTAGCTGCGACATACTCTATGGAGTGCGGCTACGTTTGCGCTTGCGAACTGGCGAAGTGTTCTCACTCACAGAAGGGCTCACGGTAGTCTCAGCAGAAGTTGCGAGTTGAGAACGGGCACGGTCTTGTAGCCAGGCCCACGTTACTGGAAACCACTCCCAGTACCAAACTTCGTTGTTCTCAGTCTTCTTCCAACACCAACGCCAAACCACTGATGATGCCGGTGGAGTACGACTTCTATCGCGAGCAGACTGCATGTCGATGCACTACAGGACTATGTTGCGTAACGCAGCTGCGGATACAACAGAAATCCGCAACTCATACAGCAAGGTCTATAGGTTACAGCTTTCCGGATGTCTTCAGCGAGTAACTCAGGAGGTCTTCAAGATAGTGCTTTTCTCAACTGAAGGTTATCTCATACAGTATCTTGCAATGTGTCGAAGGAAGTGGTCTTCAGAGTGTGCATTAGAAAACACAAAACCTAAAAGTATGACGAGTCAAATTCATGTTGTAGTAGCATCTTGGATGTCTTCAGCGGTCACAAATCACCCAATACACCATCTTTGCGTCGTCGGAGGAGGTGTTCAGGAGACGCATTAATAAAAACATCACCAACTAGAGCGCTCAAGAGATATAACATCGGCGACATCATTCTACGTGTGTATCAGAGCTTTTCGGGCGACCTGATCCCGAATCTTGACACACCGCCTCTGCAGTAGTTACATTACCAGGCCGCAAAGGTTCGGGACTGTGGGATGCCGTAGAGGTGGACTTCAGATTAATCCGTAGACAGCTAGGAGCGCAATCGTTCTCTGAAGGTATTCATCTTGCGCATGTGATATTCATCTGTCGGAGGAATTCATATGTTTTCCGCATCTGGATGTTTTCATCAGCTGGGAGCATTCACATCTCATCGTTCGGTTATCTTCAACGTTAGAAGTAGACTGAAACTATTCAGAATTCAAACAGGGACTCAGGGATTATTCATCATGCCCCCCGCAGACCGAGGGCCCGACAGCGCTTTGGCAGAATTACTACCGGGAATCACACACACATACCCAGTCTGAGCTGGTTGTCTCGCGCCATCATCTTCCTCTTCACGCGTCGAATTGTGCACTCTTTCTGTTCAGCTTCGACAAAGGTAGTCTTCAGAGCTTCAAGATTGTTAGAATGTCTTCAGATGCATCCAAAACTTTTTCTACCAGCTACATAGAGTGAAAAATGCAAAGACAAGTAGAACATATAGATTACACAGGTCTGTCCAGAATCTCAATACTACATGCTCGCGTAGACGTCTTCTTTTCTGACATCAATGCAGGTACGTCAGTCCAGCGTCCCAGACTGATTTCAGTGCAGACTGATTTCAGTGCCTAGTCAGAGCCTCTTCGTTGGGCAATCACTCTGACTGGGCAGATTGCCCCCCTGCATTCAATACTGCTCGGTATCTCCAGTGGTCTTCGGAGATGAGATGTCTTAAAAACTTCACAGATTCTCTTCCTTAGAAACAGGAATTCCACACACACACACACACACACACACACACGCACGCACACACACACGGACGCACGCGCCCATCGCCCATCCATCCTCATCCGCCAGCCCACCCACGCATCCACCCACCACATACCCAAGCTTCTGCAATCTCATTTACATCGTACTCTTAAACAGCGTACTAGTCTTACCTGACATCACGAGCACAAGCAAGACATGTTCAAGTGGGGCTAGCCTGTCCTATAAATGGTTGGTTGCGGTCTCTTGTTCCTGTTGATGCACTGTTTTCGTGGTCGTCACTGCTTCGCCCGCATCAAGACTGCGTCAGAAGAATCAGCACTGCAACGTCAAGAGAATCAGTACTGCAAAAATGCCGCCTGCAAGGCTTCCATCTGCCTCCTGCGCTCAGCATCAGCCAAGCACTCGTACAGCATGGAATGCAATCCTAAAAGGTTCGCCTGCTGCTTGTACGTGACCACATTGCGAACGCGCAACCCGGTCAACTGAACCTCCGCTGAAGCGGATCCTGATGATGTCGTCCATCTCCCTGAGGTCGGCTTTGCCGTCGCAGGAATCCTGCGTAGCCCAAACCCTGCATATGCTAGCAGGGCATTTTCACGCACTATGTGTCCCGCAGATGCACCATCCAGGAGTACAGAATGATGGCCGTGGGAAAGGCGACCTGGGTGAGCCAGAACAGAAATTCACCGGGCACCAGCAAATAACGAGCGTCTGCAAATCAACCGTGCCAATTGCCCACAGGTCGATATTCACCCAAGCATCATTCCTCAACTGGAACATGGTGTGCCGACCAATCGCTTTGCCAGAAGCATCTATTTCTGACATTTCCACCAAAGAGTTGGGCAGTTGGGCCTGCTGGGTCCGGGAAGTTCATGGGCGTTTGGCGATATTGTTTATGTGGCAAAGACATTTATGTACTATGTGATGCCCCTCCTGTGCACATACTTTTGGATGCTTGCTGCAGGTAGAGTGGAACCAGCTGACATGCTCAGCAGCAAATGATCGAAACCTAGACAAAGTTTCTGCTTCGCACGGTGCGATCGTTGGCGAGGCACCATCCCGAACTAGTGCCAGGCCAGCGTCCGCTCAGAAGGGGTATAGCCTTCTGGCTCTGCAGCCACGGTCGAAGAGGCCAATTTCGTGCTGACTACTCCACGGCAAGCCCGGCCGATGAAGACGGACTGGCGACACGGCAAAGACGAGAAGGGCAAAAACATTGAGGGAGAAAGAAAGAGACGGATGGAAAGGTATATATATATATACGCACACACACACATATGTATATATATATATATATATATATATAGAGGGATATTTTTGCGATAGTAATATATACATGGAAAAGAAAAGCTATAGTATAGTCCAATACAGTAGAATGTAATATGCTGTATTATAATGTAGTATGGTGTAGTATAATATATGACAACGTAGAATAACAAAAAGTTATAGTATGATACCATATAATAATATAGTACAATGCAATATAAAATAGCACAACATACTTTACTAGCAAATGATGTATTATAGCAGAATATACTCTACTATATTGTGCTATGCCCTATGCTATACAGAAAAACATACTTTACTGTGCTATATTGCACTACACTATAGCACAATACGAAACACTACAGTACAAGACAGTGCGATGTTATAGAACACGGTACAACACAATGCCATAGAATATAGCATAACTCAATCTAATGCAATAGGATACAGTATAACATGCAATACACTATAATATGTACACGTATAGATATAGGTGTGTGTATATATACTATGTATGTGTGCATGTATGCATGTGACATGTACTTGCTTAGTAGGTAGGTACCTACTGTTATGCATAAAGTTTTTAAATATCTAATGTAATTGTAATCCCTACCGGTCGGTAGCGCTGGAAGACTCACTGAGCAACTGCGCAGTCGCACACCGTTTCGCTGCGACCGCAACGTGGGATAGACCGAGCAATCTCGAATCTTGAAACCGATCCACAATGTGTTTCTTCATTCGTCCGTTGCCATCGAGGCAGCTGCGTGCGAAAGGATCAGTCACATCAGCATCACTCGATCGAACCGCCCAACACAAACCCCATTAGAGATCCATTCAAAACGTGGAGTGGGTGTTGGGCGATCACCTCGAGCCAAAACGGTCACGGCATCACCGATCGCGATTGCTCTATCGAACGACAAAACGGATGCCTAAATTACAAGCTGCCCAGCCAATACTTTCGGAACCAGTCGTGCCGATCGATACCCTTCGAATGCTCACTGAATGCTCACTGAGCGACCGCGCAGTCGCACACCCTCTTGCTGGGACAGCGACATGGGATAGGCAGAGCAGTGCCGAGCGTTTGAACAAATCCACAAAGTGCTTCTCCATTCGTCCGATCATTCGCCCGCCGAAAGTGAAAACATCAACCACATCTGCATCTTTCGAGCGATCGATACTTTATCACTCGCTGGAACGGATTCTCGGGCGGATACGCCACCCCTTCCTGGACCTGATCCTAATCCCGGTCCGTTGGTAGGCTGTGTTCAACTTGTACGAGTAGAGTCCCGCCTTGAATTGAGCTCGGTTTAGAGGTAAATGTGCTGGCAAACGGCCGTCTTCTACGCCGACGATTGGATTTTTATGTTCGAGATCGTGAACACCACGGAGTTCTCTGGCTTCGATGCATACTCGCCATGCCGAGTGTTGACGATGTGCAGAACGGCTTTGAGCCCAGTCGGTGAAGGAGCTGTTGGAGATCGCAAGAAAGATCACATGGCATCCACCTCGGGAAACTTTGCTCAATGAGGCCGTTCAGGGCCAAGTCAAAAATGCGGAAGTGGGCCTCCAAGCGAAATGTAGCAACCCGGGCCCGGCCCTCTGGCGCTCAAGTACGCATGTCACGGATCACGGTGCCAATACCGCTGCCGGACAAGGGCACGCTAGTTCACCTCAACCACGCCGAGCTGACCTACGTGATCAAGGCCTGGCGGTCCGGACGAAAGCAGGGAAGGCGAAAGATCTCTCGCTTACGCACCATTTGATGTAGATTTATGGCACACGCTGTGGGGTCGATGAAAGATCGACGAGTGTGAAGATTTCGAAAAGGTTCCCGACAGCTCGGATACCTGTGCTGCGTGTAGTGATCGTCTTACCACGATCCAATGACTGTAATATCGGTTAGGAGGCCTTTCCTATAATCACAGGCGCCACAGCATTTCCTGATCTGCCCTATCCTCCACTCACGGCGGTACGACTGTTATTTCTTACACAAGTGTAGTGCACAACAATCGCTTCGTATGACAGTCTCAAGCCCTGCACAACACCTTAGCCACAGCAAACATGTGTAAGGAACGGATACGACTGGCTTGGCAGAGACCTTGCACGTATGCATGTGTACCAAGGTCAAAACAATACAACTTGCAGAAGCCGCACAACCGCAAGAGCACGTGTCGACGCATTCCGACACTCAGCCTTTATCACCGAATTCAGTCCTCTCATCTCGGCACACGTGGGAGGTCGGGCAAAACAGCTGGCATCTCGTGAAAAGCAGCGGCCGGCACCTGTGCCCCAGCCCCTGCGCTGTGCCCCTTGGGCCGCTGCTCCAAGTGTCAAGAAGGAGACTGTCGCGACATCCTGTTTCCAGGCTTTGGATACGTGAGCAGAGTGAGCAGAGTAAGTGGCTGGCAGTCTCGAGCTTGCCTCGGGCTTGTGCCAGTCCAGGACCTGCAGGCACCCAGGCCGCTGCAGCCGCTACACGACAAGCCGAAGTCTCCAATCCCAGGCCGGCCTCGTAGATAGGGCACTCTGGCTGGACGTAGCCTGTGCACCCGTGTGGCCTGATCAGTCGAGCCGTCCGGTCTGCTGTCTCGGATGGAAAAAAATTCTCTCACGGTAGAGCTTGCAGACTGCTGCAGAGGCTACACACAACGGACAAAACGCATCCCTGGAAGAGACATTCCCTAGTCTCGAAAGCTCTTTTCTCAACAGCAGTACGATTGACTCGTCATGGCTCTCTCCTATTCTGCTTGCTAAAGCTGAGCGGGACACAATCCTATCTTCAAGCAGTAGTGCATGAAGGAGAAGACCTTGCCAGCATTGTCATAGGGTGTCGCAGGCATGCTTGCAGGTTCACTGAGGCGCAAGCCAAGTAGGCGAGCCCAAACATCAGCACCCACCCGCCATGTTGGCAGGAGAACGGGATGCGGCCTGTTCCCGAGTGCTACAGCCGCTTTCTCAACAAGTTTAAGTACTGACGCTGGGAGAGGGAGGCAGGGAGGGAGGGATTATGGGGAGGGAGAGTGCTCAATGCATTCTCATGCCGGGACACTGCAGAAAAGGCTGATGAGCGTCAGAAGCCAGCTAATGCAGTGAACGAAGAAGCCCAGGTAGTCCGGGAGATCCTGGCATCCAATTTCTAGTGCTCAACAAGCACCCTCCGTCCTTGAGTGAATGCTGACAGCCTCCGAATGGATCGCCCATATGGGCTTCTCGACAGTCCAGTAGAAGACCTGGAAAGCCGGAAGAGACCACACACTACGGACGGAGCCACGACGAGCCACATGTCGATGGAAACTACATGTATCAGAGGTCAACTCAACCCGCTTCACTGCTGTCGCTGCAGGTTGCTGATTCTGAGATGGGCACCATGGACAGAAACGACAGCGGCTGCCTCAACAATGCCGTCTCTTCAGAGCTTCAACGAAGAGTCAGTGCATCAGTATGGTCTCGATATGGGATTCGCAGGGTGCCCAGTAATCTGGCGCCACAGCCCCTAAAATCGAAATGCTGCTACCATCCATCGGCAGGTCTTGTTCCGGTGTTCCCAGAGCCAAACATCCAAGCCACGCTAGTGAGAAGATCGCCACGCCAGCGGAGACCGGATCCGGCAGTTGCGAGCCTTCCTAACAGATGTTCAGGGACCCATGCATGCTGTCATGGATCTCATGTGAGTGACGCGGAACGAAGTGGTCTGCCCTCGACCCTCAAGCTCAGAGAATGTCACATAGAATGTCCTTCTCTTCATCGTATCGCACAGGCAGGAGAGAGACACCTCCAGCCTGGGTCAAGCACGCTTGTCAACCTCCCGTGAGACCGTGAGCGTGGGTGCACGGAAAAGAAGCCCTAGCCGCAAGCCTGCTACCAAGCCAACTCAAGTGTCAGGCTGTCCGACAAAGTCGCCCGTGAGACTTGTGTTTCTGCACTGCGGATGTTTGGTGAAACTTTTTCTGGGACAATGCCGATGATCCCGTCCCGTTCTTGTGACAGCCATGTTACATCCCTGCAATACTGCAGCATCATGGGCAGGATCCGATTTTCCAACAAATGTTGCCGACCAGCTTCCCTCTGCTCTAACACAGTGAGACGTCCGGCTGGGCCCATTTGGGCCTCGAAACTGCTCATGAAAGCGAAAAGCCCCTGCCTGAGCAGGCAGGTGCACATGCAACGGTTGAAATTATGCTGCAAAGGGAATGCAACCACGTCTTGAGCAGTCCCAGCAGCGCCACCGCTTGGACCTCCTGCGGGTCCTCGAGAGAGGCGCGGTGAACGTCGAACGAGGTGATGCGACTCTGAGAATCTGTGAGAATCTCTGAGGTTCGAATATAGACGGCGTGACGGCATGACAGCTCCGCTCCTCGCGGAGCTCCCGGCAGAGGGCCGCGAAGGCCGAGGCCGTCTGGACGCGACCGCTTTGGGCCCCGCGGTAGCGCCTGGTGGCGCCGAACCTCAGATCGCCACGGGCGACTCGCAGCTTTCAGCTTTTGACTCGCGGATGGAACTGGGGAACTTATGTCCCTCCGGTCTCAGCAGGGAGGCTCTTCCCTGGTGGCAGTTTCCACGACACACCTCCCAAGGCAGATCAGCCACTGAGCTTGAAGGTGGCCAGCATGAGCAAACTAAGCCCTCCGTATGAGGTATACAATGCGCGAGATGTTGCATGCAATCACAGCCTCGGGAGGGCTGGGTCAAGCCACTGGTTCATCTTCTTGCACTGAGCCCAGCCTGTCTTCAGAACAACATCTCAGGGCTGTGCCAGAAAGTTCAACGCTTGAACCCATCAGCTGGCCCGGCCAAACTTGAATTGACAGTTGCGGATGGCCTCCATCCAGAATTACGATCCTCCGGGGAGGCTGTGCCTCCGGCCGCTGCGGCTTGGATGCCATGCAAATGTGAGGCGAGCCCTCATGAATGGACAAGGTCCCCCTCCACACTACCTTCGCTGCCGGCTCCCAAGCATGGGCTTCAAACCTGCTCTCAATGCCAACACTGTAAACTTGGAGGGGCGCCACCTCAGCCAGAGCAGCCGCCGGCAGTGCATCCGCTGATGGGAAAAGGACAGCGGTGCCAGCCACATCCTCCCTGCATGCAGCTTCGCTCGAAGAGTCCCAACTCTTACACTGGCCGGCTGAAGTGTAGTCATGCCCGGCTGAGGGAAAGGAAGCGGATCAGCGCCTCAGCAGTGCCTGTAAGCGCTCGTCGTGCTCCGGATGTCCGCAGCAAAACAGATCTGCTCCGAGGAGCAAAAGCAGTACCGCTGTGTTTGTGGCGGAGTGTTGTCCAAGCTCCTGTTTGCTTCCAAGCGCATGGAACACTCATGAGCCGCTCTTGCCAATTCGACTTGTGTAGCCTCGTGGTGGAAGAGCACGATCACGTGGGGCCGAAGCTTCCTCTGGTAACAAGCTTGTGCTGCCCAGGAAGTGTGGACTCCGCTGGGATTGCTGCCACGGCTCAGCGAAGGCATAGCCGCGCAACAGCAGTATGTGGCTACACGCCAGCATCCTTGCCCAGCAAGGATAGGCAAAGCACCCACACCGCGGTCGCCGCGTGCTTCTATGTCACGGTTTGCAGCGCAACGTCCCTTCAAACGTCCCAAACCGTCTGCTTCGACCGTCTTCTTCGATTCATGTCCAAGTATTGCAAGACAACCGATATGTCGAAATGCTGGCCACAGATACCGCACGCAAAACCAAGATGATCCAAGAAACTTGGACACTTCACCCCAGGATTGGCAAGAAATGCACAGTACCTGCTCTGGGTTTCAAGCAAACGGACAGGTCGGGGAAGTTTAAGCCTAAGTCTTAGTATGGCATTAAGAAACTACACCAGACCTTCTCCAACGACGGTTCCACGCAGCAGTTGTCAGAGGAGACCAAACCAAGGCTACAAGTAAGGGCCAGGAGACATGGCCCAGCACTTCGCCGCTCTTGGGGTCTGAAAGCGCCGTGCGGCCTCTCGTTGACAGCACTCCTGGTGATCAATTCTACAAGCAGCTGCTTGGACCTCTGTACCTGACTGTGTGACTTGCCCGAAAACTGAGCATTCGCATTCATTGGGGTTCCCATCGTGTGACGGCCAAATATGTCTCGGCTCCTCCTCAGCCCCCGGTGGTGCCTCTTGGCTTTCATGACCGCCGCTGCCACCAACGCTGCCACCGTCATGAAGCATCTACAATCCGAGAGCCCGATAACATCACCCAGGTTCAGCCCGTCCTTTGCTGGTGTTAAATGCTTGAACTCTCAGAGTGCCACACTCCTTGCTGCCCTATGTTTTGTGCGCGCCCGGTTGGCTCCAGTACTAAGGCTTGCTGCCTCCGACATGTAGGGATGCGATGAGGCGAGCTCATCACGCGAACATTGAGCACGGCATTTCACTAAATCTGATTTTTGTGCGGTTCTCATGCGTGAGCAGCACTGAAGTATTGCAGACCTTGGTGGTCAAATCTCGGCTGGTTGCCAGCCAAGGGTTTGAACGTTAGCAGCCACGGAGGGTGGCCTGACAGGCCTGCCGTGATCACCGGTTAACCGGTTGCCACATTTCGGGCAACTCGGCAACCCGCCCTGAAGCACAAAAACAAAACCTTACGAGCTGTCGCAGAGGATGCGCAGCTCAAGCGGCTTTCACCGTCTCTGCATGTCTCAAGTTCGTGCGAAAACCCTTAGAAACCAAGTCGGAGGTACAAGTATCGATGTCCGAGCTACGATCCAACACCTTTCAGCCCCTGGAAATGCTAAAAATGTTAAAACAGCCCCGCCCACCAGCTCTGGTGTCGACGTTGGCCGAAGCGGGCACAACCGAAAAAAGTGCCCCTAGACAGTCTCAGATCTTGTTGTACAGGATCTCCTGTACCATAGCTGCAGCACATTCCTTTCTGCTTTTACAGGACATTGCAGCCGCAGCGCACAGAAACCCTGTGCCCTGGTCTGCGCAAATGTGGCCTTCTTGGCAGTCTTCTCGTTGTCCTCCTCAGCTCTGCGCATGTTGCAAGAGGGCGCGGCTAAAGGGGCGGAGCTCGCTCCTGTGAGTAGAAGTTCTCGGTTTGCGAGCGCGAGCTGGCACCGAAGCCCTTCTTCCGCAGCTTCCGGAGCATGTTCTCCGCCTGACACAGACCACGACTTCTCCCCTTCTGTTTTGGGAGATGGGTCAACTCCGGCGGCCTCCTCGGATTCCTGCTCCATCAGCAATTTCCTGACCCAGACAAAGGGAATGACGGTGCGTCGAAGGCTACCGCGCATCGAGCTCTCACGAAACTTGTGCTGATGTAGGCAACACTTCTGCCAAGTCTCTGCTCTGCCATCACGGTCTGCACCTTTGCCTGGAATGCCTGAAAACAGAGTGTCGCAGAAAGAGCCGCACATGCCGCATGGCTGCTGCCCGTGACGGCAGTTCCGGTCTCAGGCCTGGCTTGACGGTGAGATCTCCCGCAATGCCTGCCTGGCAAGCTTGCCGGCAGTAGCAGAGGCAGAAGCCACCGTGAGGCAACTCAGGGGAAGGAAAGTCTACAGCAGTCGCCACATCAAGAACGGTTGACTGTCGTCACTAAAGATGGCACGTGTCCTGAGTGCTCCTTAGCGAGCCGCCAGCAGAAGGCCCGGGCGAATCTCACAGCCGAGTGACACTTCGCGCAAGGACATCTTGCTCGGCATCTTGCTGAGAGGAACAAAGACTTTTGTGATCTTCGACCTGAGACCATTCGATCCCGCGCGTTGCAGTGCAAGCTCACAGATGAGATGTCATCCGCGGGCGGGTATCACTTTTCGAAAGAATGAAAATTTAACCAACCGAACACGTCATGACTTGTCTGAATAACTGAATATGAGGTTGTCTGACAGTATGAGAACATTTGGGAACCTCCTTCCGTATGCTTCATCTCCTCAAGCGCCTCAATCTGCATTGAATCTGCATTGTTGTGGGTCGAGCAACACGTGATCTGCGCCGTTGGCATCACCGCGCAAAGTCTTCTCAGAGCGGGCCAAAACGCGAATCATTGAAGCCTCAGCAGAGATCAACGCAAAACTGCAAATTTCCAGACACCCGTCACTGCAGGACCTTGCAGGATGTCTCTCAGTTGCCAGCCAATGGTGGATCACAGGCCCAAACCCTGCAGCAAGTCTTCAGACTCGATTTCGGACGTTCTGCAGTAAGCCTTTAGTGCAATCTACTGGCTGCTGACGATGAGAGGTTGGCGTGCTGCTGCTAAGGGATGTGCAACATGCCATGAAACCCCAGAGGCCTCTCGAGCTGCCAGATGTCGTGCGGGCGAGTGAAGAAGGTGTTGAAAATCTCGCGCAGTTGGTTGTCATGCCTGGGTCCGGCAAGCCGGGATTCCACCGTCAAACCGTGCAACGAGTGCCAATGGCAACCGCCTCATGTCTGATCACATGTCCAAAGCAATGCGACACACATTGTAAGTGCAGGCTGGCCACGTGATGCATGGCCCATGGGTCTTAGCAGGGCAGATCGATTAGGCAAAGCCCAAGCCAACTTGCAAGGAAAACTGAAGACGGATGATGGATACTTCATCTTGTGCTCGCTGCGAGCACATCAACATGGATTTAGCTACGGGCAGCTGGGCTACTGCCCCTTGCCGCGGGTGTGCAAACTGGACAATTTCATTCGAAGATGGGCCACACGTGACTTCGGTATTTGGATCACCTGTGACTTCTCACGAACTCTGGGAACTTGTGCCTTCTTAGCTGGCGAATGTGCGCCACATCCATCAAAACCATCAAAATGTAGCTTTGTAGATGCTCTTCGCCAATAACAAATCAGAAGTCGCAAGGGACACCCTTGCGACCTCATGAATCTCACCTGCTAAGATCCGTGCTCCATCTTCCAAAACGCATACCAGTGCGTGGTGCAGGCCTTGCCTGCAGACAGAGCAAGCACAAGTACTAAAGGCGTCAGCTTCTCATATCAGTCGCACAGCTGAGAGCTTCAGACTGCCGTCACGTCCTGCCTCACGAGCGTGTTGTAAGCGTTCCCTGTCAGGTTCTTGTCGCCATAACCCATGCCATCCTCAACCACGATCTTCGCAACACTCTGCACCTCAGCAAATCTAACTTTCAGAAACACATTCTGAAGCGCCTTGAGCTCCGCTGCGCCCTAGACGCATGTGAGTACTCCAGCAGTTCCTCTACACTCGTCCTTTGCAGGACTTGTTGACGGTTGACTCCATTGGCATCAGCCGAGTTCGCGACCGCTCCGAAATATTCATCCTGAGGCTGACGTCTATCTTCCTGAACTACGAAACCTGCAAACTCTTAGGCTAGCCTCTAATGTGTTTCCAGGCATACTCTTGCGAAAGGTTTGACTCGACGGTAATCATGTGCCCAGTTCCGAGAGGAACGACTTCGGCATCGGGAAACTAACCAAAGACGAAGCTTGTACACCCGTGCCCCCAGTCAGTCTCCTTGCTCCCGATGATGTTCAGCGTTGGGACATCTTTTTGACCGGCAATCTGACCATCCTCTGGCCGCGGAGTGAAATAGCAGTATTCCACACCTCAGCACGGATTGTCGGACTGCAAAGCCAAGCTTCATGAGAGCTCAGACCCAAGAGTCGTCTAAACTGAGCGCTGCGCTGAAAGAGTTGATGAACCGCCCCAGAACGGATTTGCCGTAGCCTCAGGCTGGGTTCCAAAGCTGGAAAATCTTCTGTGGCTGGACAAACTGAAATGCGGCCTCCTTACAAAACAGCTGCCCGCCACCACCACTACTCCCTACGCCCTACGCCCTACGCCCTTTGTTTGGGCACAAGACTCATGATCCCACAAATGCAACTGACGGTGGGGTAGCAGTGCACCTCCCAGGAGGCACAATAACTTTCTTGGGCCCTTGGGGCTTTCAGGTTCTCAGTCCCATGCGGGTGGCTATTCTGGTCTTCATTCAATAAGCAGCCACCCTGCGTGAGCTGTTAAGGCCATGTGCCAGTGCTGCCGTCGGCAAATGGACACTGGCTGAAAGGAACCATTGAATTTCAAGTGCGTGCTCGCTTCCCAAATTCGCAGGTAGCAGGGCCTGGAGGCCTTTGCAAATGTTTGGGTCCCCGTTGGGGTTTGCCATCTCAAATGATGCCACCAACCCACGACAGTCACAGTGCCTGCACACAAATCTTCCAGAAATTGAGACCAGCTTCGCTGATCATCAAATCTCGCAATGGTCATGGCCCCTTCGGAGGTGCCTCCTGGCTCAGGCGGAGACTGGGAGACTGCGGGGCATCCAGGCAGAGAGGCCGCAGGCCGCAGGCCTAGGAAGAAGCCCTGCGCCAAGATGAACCGTGGGAGCTTCGAGATGATGAAGTGAAGCTCCTGGGTCGGCCCGGAAGCTTCAAGCGTCCTTCCGCCTGAATCATCCCCTCATCCTTTCTTCGACACATTGTGCTGCAAAGGATCGCTGCGCCGCATCTGATAGCACTTTTCGTACATATCCATCCACCTCAGAAGTTGTTGCGTCGCATCTGCAATGCCGTGAACTCGCGCGATCCGAGGCCGAGGCTGGTCCGGATGGCTTAGCACGTCCTCCGCCTCAGAGTGCACTTGCGAGAGATGCAACATGCCAGAAGCCCGAGACATCTGAGACATCTTGCACCAGCCAAGCTGCCTTCGTGGAGTAGGTGCTCTCACCTTCCGCCTGCAAACATGCATGTAGCCATCTGCAAGTCACTAAAGACTGGCCCCAGATTCCGAGAAAGCCTTCCCTAAACAGACTCACCCGCAAAGAAGTTTCTATGACAAGAGCTCCACGGTGTCGCTTGCTCCCAATCTCGACCCAACTAACTAGCCCGAATGTCCGCCGGGTGATGATCTGCCTACAGGGCAACTTGAGCACCAAAAAGCTGACGGCAGGTGGCCCAAGTGGACCATCCACAGACGCCTTTTCTTCCACAGAGCACAGAGCCCGTAAAGCGGCGGAGAGCACTTCTCCTTCTTCGGGATCGTCGACGCAGTGAACGTCGAGGAAGTCACCTCACACGGCCGTGCGTGAACAGGACCCAATCCGAACATGAAGGTCCGTCGAGTATGTGCCGTGGGATAATTTCTTACACGTGCCCGACAGGCCGAGTGACCAATGTTTGCGCTGTAGTTGTCGATGATCCTGAGTAGGATCACCACTGGAAACTCAGCGCATACTTTGGATGCTGGCCTGTGCTTCCTGTGCTGGCAGCTGAAATGTTGAGGGACAAGCATTCAAGCACACTACTAGCTACTAGAGTCGGGAGAGAGGGCACCGGAGTTTCTGCAGCCCTGTAGTCTATCAGCAGTACTTAAGGCCTACTGTCAAGATTCCAAGCTTAGGGCCGAGTTCAAGTGCATGACGCGGCTCTGTCGGATGTGATCGTAGGAGTTTTCGATCTCTGAGACCAGCCGGCTACAAAGCCTTCCTCCGCTGCCAACGCTCCGGATCCAATCGGAGACTTCCTTGGATCGGAGGCGGCTTGGAGAGGCAGTCGGAGGAACTGCCGCTGGCGGAGCTGCGAGCAAGAGGCCGGTCCATTCGGGGGCGACGCATGCGGCACTCCCAGACGCCCGTCCCCGCCATTGCAGAGGGCCAGGGCCATGGGCTGGTCCTGGGCACTGTCAAGCATGGCCCACCCTCAAACAAGGCGGATGAGAAGCAGAGATTAAAAGAACTCCAGCCTCGCTCTGGGTCTGCTCGACTTGCATTGCTGGGACGTCGTTGCTACTCCCAGGCGGCATGAAGAAGAGGATGTCGCCAGATAGTAGCCGTGTTAAGCGACTCGAGGGAAGTCTGTCGCCGTTGAGCCATGTCCCATTCGAGGAGAGGTCGCAGAACATGAGCAAGGCTTCTCCGCTTGGCCCGTGCTCGACTCTAAACTCAGCATGCTTCTTGGAGGCATGCTGAACCTTCAATAGGACGTCTGAGGACGAGGCTCTGCCGCACGTCAGGATGTGCACATGGTCGAACACTTCCACGAATTCTGGGACGCTGGCTCCACCACTGTGGCGGAACAACACGAACGCAACTGACCCGTGCTTATGGCCCGGGCCAGCCGGGGGTTCCGGGCTCTGCTCTTTAAGCTTCGCTTGCGCTGGGTACGCGGGGCCATTGCTTACTGGTGCAGACTCAGGCTTGAACACCAGCATGGGTGGTGGGGGTGGGGTGGGCACAGTAGGTGGGTTCGGTGGAGGCGGTTGCTTGGCGAAAACTGATACAGGCTGGGGGGATCTGGGCCGTCCCTCGTCATGACTGCTGTCCTCTCGAAGCTTCTGGATCTGTATCCAGAGATATGCCGATGGATTGCCGTGCCGTCGTAGATCCATTCCGATCAGCGCTCGCTGCGCCGACCGTGGCAGCCGGCGCATAGCACGACAGGATTTCCCGTCAATACCATTGAGCCGGAGGAAGCCCTCGACCTTGGTACAAGCACACTCCAAAGGGGGGAGCTCTGTTGGGGCTCAGGGCTTACTAACCAGAACTCGTAAGGAAGTTTGATGACCGATCGACTGCCAGATCTAGCTGCCCGTCCTCGTCGTCTTCGTCGGCTTTCCGCTTCTTCGCTTTCGGCTCTGTGGTGTTGCTTTGAACGGCAGAGCGAGCGGAGGCTTTGGCAAAGGCCCTGGGAATGCCCGAGGCCGAAGAGGCCGAAGAGGCCGAAGCCAAAGGAGCCGGAGGCGGAGACGAGGCGGAGTGTTCTACAGACTGGGGCGGGGGTGGGGGCGGGGGCCCTTGTGGGGTCTGAAGTGAGAGTTGAAGATGCGCCGGAGGCGGTGTAGAAGGTGGCTTTGCGAAGGATGTGCTCCTCCACAGAACTGCCTTGCCCGCTCCGTCCATGCTGCCCTCACCTTTGATCCGAGCACGCCCAATCCGAGACACCAGGACGGCAGACGGATTCCAGCAGTGAAGGATCGGGCCTTCGTCAATCACCACGTGTCTGAGGTGTATTGGAAGTTCGAAAAACGCATGTCGTGCAGACTCGTCGATGCCATGCTGATCCAGGAAAATTTCGTGCGGATCTGCCTGCGGAGGCCGGAGAGTCCCAGCCCAGGCCATCCCAACCAGAGAGACCAAATGCTGAGACGGGTTACGTCCCCCGTGGCCAATGTCGTGATCATGCGCAAGCACAGCGAGCTGCAGTTCGGCTGGGAGTTGCCGCAGGGCTTCTCGACCCCCTGCATCGATTCCATGACGTTGCAGGAACGTTTCGAGGACGTCGTTGCCGGCCGAAGGTAGAGGTGGCGCAGGTGGTGCTGGAGGTGCGGGTGGTGGAGGTGGAAGAGGTGGCTGCGGTGGTTGGGGTGGAGGGCTTGGCCACCAGCCATTCTCCTCCTTTGAGGACTCTGTGGTTACGCAGTCCTTCATGCCTTTGAGGCTGCGCACCCGAGACATGAGGTAGGCACTGGGGTTCCTACACTTCGAGAAATCCTCTTGCATCAGTTGGCTCTGCTGGTCTGCGCTCAGCTCCAGAAAGCTGCGGCAGGCATCGTTGTCGAATGGTATGGTCTGCAAAAACAGATGCAAATCCATTCCCACAGAGTGCGATGGCTGGCCCTGGCCCGTATCTGACGTCATAGATGCTGCGCGGCATGGCACATGGATCTGCTTCTTCCCGTCAATCGACGAGCATTCCAGTCTGCCACCAATCACTAGATGATCTGAGTACTGAAAAACCGAAGGCATGTTCTGTGCATGAGGTCCTGGAGTTTCAAGACCAGTACGTGCCGCTTTCGTGTTCGTTGCAAGGTCTGCTTGCATTGTCGAGCAGCGACTATAAGCTACTGTTGTCCCTGCACTATGCCGGTGCTGAGAAGAACTGAAGAACCGAGACGGATTGCAAGCTACCTCCACCAAAGGCTTCTCTCTCGGTTACGTGCCCCCGATTGCGAAAGGTCCCGGGAGTCCAAGCTCTTGTAAGGCTTCTCCAGCCTGCGAGGCGTAGATGAGGTCCGGAGCCCAGTAGTCCACATCATCTGAAGCCAAGTGCAGGGGCTGCAGGTCCTTGTGCCTGAGAGCAAAATGCACCGCCGCAGACGCTACAGCGAAGCGCCGCTTGCAACGGGTGCCGCTATGGGTGCCGGGCCTGAGCGCACCCATGGCCGTGCCCCGCGGATAGGCGAAGTCATCCGGCGCGATGACCTCGCCGGGAGCGGGAACGCGGAACGCGAACCCCCCCCCCCGCCCACGTGCGCTTTGACGCCCGCTCCGCCGAGGCGCCAAGAAGCCCATGCGGCAGATCATGCGGCAGATACGCATGTTGTCCCAGCCTCAAGACGCTGTCAGCTCTGAGTCAGTTTGCGAATGACTGCACCTACCTTGCCGCTACCAGTAGCCGCTGACCGGGCTGACCCTGACTCCGTTGAAATCACGGCAGAGAGTCCGAAATAAATGCCTGAACAATGCAAGCCAAAGGCTACATCCTCCAGATCCATGGGCATAGATGAGTGTGCCTGATTCACGCGCAGCTGCAGTGCACTATGAAGCTACGGTCTCCAGAAGCAAGTCAAAAACAACTGTCAGCCTCGCAGGTTGGCAAACTTGAGCCGCGAGAGGAAAGAGAAGTTGTTTCTCTTCCGGATCAATGCCAGCTTCCAGCGCATTTGCACCTTGACTTTCCCTTCGTGGCCTTTTTGAGACATGCCGTTGCAGGAACAACTGTGGACCACCGTCCCCGGCCCCCCGGCCAGGGCTCGTGCTGTGATTCGCATTCCCTCGCATCACGAGTAGTGCCTCCGAAAAGTCTGGCCAAGCGACCTTCACGAGCATTTTGATAGACTGCTCATTGTTGTGGAAGCGGGCTTGTAAAACCTTCGGCACTGGCACTTTCAGACTTGAGGTGGTGAACACTACATTGCCTCCCATGAAAACAAAAACAAACGCAGCTTTCTGCAAACCAATGCAGTCCCGGCCAGGCAGCTTCTTTTTGAGCATGCGGAACCTGTTGGTTTTGCCGCAACTCCTGATAGCGCCTGGCTCCAGGGTCATGTGCAAAGGAAGACAGGAGGCATCAGGAGAAGAGACGTCTCCGGCTGCAGTTGGTTGAAGATTTGTAGGCAAGGGTTCGACGCAAGCTAAAGGCTCCGGACTACTGCTGTCCAGAAAGCGGTGGCCGCCCGAAGTTTTCATTTCAGGCCCTACACTGCCTGTGAAGCAACTGCCGCACGTGCCAAACTCTTCCAAACCACATCCTCAGAGGCGTATCAGCTCTGCGCACTCTGGCGAAAAGAGACTCTGCAAGACTCCTTTCATGAAAGACTTCTTCGAGTTCCTCCGAGGCCTCAGGCCGGCACTGCTTGCTGGGGTCTCCTTTGTCATCCATGTTCGCCTCCGAAGGAAGCGGAGGAAGCACGGAAGAGGAGGAAGGGTCGCGGCAGCGTCCGCCCCTGGCGTCGCTCGAGCAGGTGCGAGGCCTCCAGGCCCAGCTCTTGGACGCTCGAGTGCGGAAGGAAGAGGAGAGTATTGTCAAGCAGCGAGGGGAACCTGCCAAGCCGCGATCCCACAACTTCCTTCTGCTTCCAGCATCCGGCTCAAGAGGCTACGGCTACTAAATTTTAGCCGGGTGTCGTCGGCGGCTCAAGATCTCCCGAGTTTGGCACCCTTGGCTACAAAACAGTTCGTGCACAAAGCTGCATAACGCCTGAGCCGTCTTGGATCGCTGAGTGGAAAGATGATGAGAATAGCAACCATTGAGACCATTGGGACGACAAAACAACTACACAGAGTGAAATGAACTTGTGGGGATCTGTGTGTGTCAAGTCGCACTTTGGCTCTCCAAAGTGCTGGACTAAAGCTCATAATGTCGCCAATTTCCTGCTCCTGGCGAGGGGAGCTGTTCATTCGACGCTCACACGTGTCACGGAGAAGGCGCCTCTCGTGCCTCGCCGGCACATGATGCTCCCATGTCCTCAGTCGCACGGAAAAATCGACAGAAACCCCTCCGTGTCTTCCCATCCGTCTCTGCTATTGAAACTAGTGCCGTGGGCCGGGACGGGACCCATCCGGACATACCAGAAAACATGAGAAAACGCAGTCGGCAGATACCCCGCAGGTCCCCAACACGTTTCACTCGGCTTAGCGGCTGTCTTTGTACCGCCGGCACCAACATACTCTCTGCGGCTCGAGCTGAATTGCAGCGCGCATGCACATCAAAAACAGTCGACCGTCTCTATCACTGAAAAGCCATGCACAGCCCTGATGTCAAAATAAACCTTTCAAGCAACCTGCAAATCCGCATCTGAGATTCCGGCTGCGCAGACCCTTGGATTCAAAGGAGCACTTTGATGCTTGACTTGCTTGCTCCGTCACGGATGTACATGTGAGTGAGTGAGTGAGTGGGTGGGTGGGTGGGTGGGTGGGCGGGCGGGCGGGCGGGCGGGCGGGAGAGCCAGAAAGAGCCGGAGAGACAGAGAGAGTTAGAGAGAGAGAGAGAGAGAGCCAGAGAGAGAGAGAAAGAAAGAAGAAAGAGAGAAAGAGAGGAACAGAGAAAGAGAGAAAGAGAGGAACAGAGAAAGAGAGAAAGAGAGCAAGAGTGAGCACGAGAGTGAGAGCGAGAACGAACTGTCTTGGAGCATGGGCGGACAGTCACCTCGCCTATTCGTTGCGCATCTAACATTGCTTAACAAGGCAACTGTTGGCTAAAGCAGAGCACGAGGAATCCTAGTCACTGCAAAAGCTCTACCATGAAGACACACCCGAGATGGACCGTGGCGACCGTTGACCTCGCATTTGTGAACTATTTTGGCGGACGCAGGCGGGCGTACGGCGTACGGATCGTACGGGCTCTCCAAGGCTGGCACAGCGAAAGCAAGCTCTCCGCCACTTGGACGAGAAATACCCATTGGGTCCTGGGCTTTTGCGCGGACAGTTTCCGTAAAGCAAATCTCATGCACAGGGCAAAACTCTGCAAGGTATTTTGTTGGTGCAACGCGGCCGAGCCTGTTGCTTCGATGCCAAAGCTCGTGCAAGAGAGCTACTGAGCAACCCTAAGACCCCAGGAGGATCTAAGAGGATGAGTAGCAAGTAGACCTCAAACGAGAAAACAGTCGCAGTGCTCCAGTAGCTATGCGCGAACATATGGCCTGCGGCGTACGGTAATGTGTCGCGATGTGAAACGCCGATACTCGGAGTTTCGATTCAAAATACCGAGTCGTCAACCTCCGGCACGGAGCTCCTCCCCCACATCACTTGCCGGCTGGCCGATCGGAAATGGAGCTCGGGTGAGACTGCCAGCTCACCAACGGACTATTGCCAAGTGCTCTGACGCTCAAAAATTCCTAACCTTTCATCATGAGGCTGGAAATTGCCGCTAGCCGAGCAGTGGTCGCATCTCTTCGTCTAGCTGATGTCAAATGCAACTTACCACGAGCTACGTTGCTTTCTTGAGTTCTCTCATGTCTCGGCCTCTGCCCTGTCATGCGCTGTCATGCGCTGCGCTGCATGCCATATCTCCCCACTTGCTCTGCCGGCCGGCGGCCTGCTCGGCGGCTCGGCGGCTCGGAGAGCATGGCAGAGACTACTAGAGCCTAGAGTTGGAGTACTCTTGGGTCATGTGTTTAGAAGAGTACGGAGGCAATGGACCTTTGCAGGGCGCTTGACGCTTGATACTGCCCACTAAGCGCCAGAAGACAGCCGTCGGGTAAGTGCTGCCCCTCGTACGAAGGTTTGCTCCGATTCGAAGCCGCACAAACACCAGCCCGGGCAGAAAGGCGAGAAAGAAGCCTGTTTCAACTACCATTTATTGCAAACCAATTCTGGCATTCTCTCCATTCCACCCGAAGACTCTTGTCCAAAGACCTGAACAGGCAAGCATGCCGCTCAAGCAACGAAGACGCGCTACGACTTGATAAGACTGGTCGCTTAAAACTGAAGGCGCAGTCTAACACGATTGCACCTCTAGCACAGAGTTACGCAAAGCACCTGGCTGTTCCCCCGCCGGAACAGAAGAGCATTCCAGCAAGTATCCTCTACGAGGCATGCGCATCAGACCAGGTAACCGTAAGCTCTAATCAGAAGGTGCCGGCACTGGGACAGGCAGTGACTTGCGTTTGGAAAACGACTTGTTAAAGAGCCTGCGTTTAGGTTTGCAATTTCGCTGCACCGTCGAGTTAGCCGAGCTCGTGCTCTTCGTCAAGCTTCATCAACATATTCAGAACCAGCATGCAAGACACAGAGCCTACGTTTTTGCTACTGAGCACGAGGGCAGCGGAAACTGCCAGTCCGAAATTGTCATTATCAGACCGGCAGCAGCAGGATACGTGGAGTGGAACAATGGACGTATGAGTGAAACCACGGCGACAGCTGCCTTGCGTGGTGATGCCACCTCCCAGCAAACGAGTCAGCCTCGACCTCCTCACCTATAAGCTCGACGAAGCTTGCTACGCCAACCCTCTCAAACCCGCATCTCAGCGCACGACATGGTCTTGTTTGATCATGTCCCGCCTTCGTTAGGTGATGCAGTCCACACAGCTCACTTCAGAGGCAGTGTCCTTAGCACATGCCGGTTCTGACAATCAAAACAAGAAAGACTGCAGTCGAGACGTCCAAGCAGCCCTGGAGGAAAAAGCTCTGAGCTTCGCCTCGTCATCCGCCTCGAGAGATGGAGGATTTCATGCCCTTCATGATTTGCTCATGCTCACATGGTCCGCATGGGATGAAATCACACCATTAGGGGCCCTGCCAAATTCGGCTGCCAGTTGCTCATCTCAGTGTTGTGCATGATCACACCTGAGTGCGGCGCTCTTGCTGGCATTGCTAAGCATGCCTCTCAACCTGTGTGCTGTTTCCATGCGATTGATTCTCGCCTGTTTCACTCCTTGCCAGGAAAGCTTCGCCACCATACAGAACACCGGAGAACTCAGTTCCCGCCTGCTTGAGTCACCGCAAGTTCTCGCAGAAGCTTTCGAACATCGGTGAGGGTGGACAAGATTTGGTGTGTCCTCGGAGTTTGGCACAAAAGACATATAGTGACGGTGCCAGACTCGCTCTGCTCTGCAGCTGTTTGGCCCTTGGGCCCAATCAGAAGCCAAAAAATGCACGGAAGCCCTGCAGATGCCTTGAGCCCTAAGCAATTTGCTCATGGTCGTTGGATCTCCGTGCAGCTCCGCTTGAAATTTGGGGCCAAAGGGCTCGTGCGTGCGCAACTTGTAGAGCTGGTCGACGAACTCATCTGGGCCTAAGGATGCCCAGCAGACCGACTCCGTGCCCGGTCCGGGAAGAGCCCGAATCCCGAAAGCATGAGAAGCAGCAATGCAGCAGCCTATCTGCAAAGACGACCGGCGCGGCTCTTCACGTCCAGGGACTGATGTCACCGCTGTCATCTTTGTCCAGAATCGATAAGACCCATTCCAGGTCACGTCCACCAATGCCTTAGTCGAAGAATGCAGCCTACAATGGCTGAAGAACAACAGTTCACCCAAGGAACATCGAACCCCCTCTCGATTTTTTGTGCGAGTCTTGAGGAGCGTAGCGGCGTAGCTGTAGCTGTGCTTGTCTCATGCTTTGGAGGTTGGAAGTCGGAAGGTCTTTAACTTTCTGACTGCAGCCACAGTCACCCATGCCTTTTAAGCAATCGGCAAAATCCTGATCCTGCTCGAATCCTGGGCAGGGCTGACTAGCGCACAACTGGTAAGGTTGCCGGTGCAACACTGTTGACAGATGTCCTCTGACGAATTCGGAGGGATCGATCTTGCCGGAGTTGTCCTCGGTGCCCAGTACGTCATAATGAATAAATAACCCTCCCAACTCCCCGCTGCTACAACAACGGCCCCACCTAGCCGGGGCCGTGCTATTCTCCTAGCTAGCTCAGCTAGCTTCCGAACACCTCTCTTGAACTGTGTGGTTGCAGGTGCTCTCATGGAAGACCTCCGGCTGCGGCTAGAAGTTGCAAGGCAAGGTTTTGTTAAATGCATCCCAGGCTCCAAGTCAAGACGCCGGCATAACCGATAAAGCTGCTGTGTCGCTTGATTGAAATCCTGGCGCAAGCCACAAGGTCCAGACATCCGAGCGGACCGTGCGCTGCACCAAGTAACTCTCAGCACATAAGCTTTTGGGGAAATTCGCTGGCATGAGGGTGTGTTACAGGTACTACTTGACAGCTCACACGCATAGTAAAACTCATGACACTTACATGTATGCATGCATGCATAGTATGTATGTATGTATGTATGTATATCTATGTACCTATCTACATACCTATTTAATATCTACAGTAAATGCACACTCACGGACACAGGTTTGCACTGCTCCCGAGAACTGCACGGCAATCAGGTTGCCACAGCGCCTTCTCCATCTGCACAGCACGTTCGTGATCACCTTCGCTTACATGGGGGTATGGTACTTATGGTACCCCACATACCAGGTGGAATCTTTCAGTATGCAGAATCGAGGCCCAGGCTGACAGATCGCGCATCCTGCGCAGAGTCGACGATGACTGCCAGAATTAAATTCAGCATCGCCAAATCCTGAAATGCAGCTGTCGAGACGTGCCTACATCGCTCCACGACGGATCTCAATGGGATTCCGTGGACACGACATACGTCAATGGAAAGTGCCAAGCCGCGACAGAGACGATCACTCCCGCAAAGTAAATCAGCGTGATGGGCTCGGCTTCCAAAATTGGCAAGGCCAAATGACCCCAGCTATCACCTGTTACAAGCCAGCATTTTCGGTGTTAGTGACTATGCACAACATGTGGAAGAGAGACTGGGAAGATTTCCCCCTCACAGCACATGATGTGAGAACCGTAAGTTCGCCGATGGCAGCGTCGACTGCTTTTGGTGCTCCATGCAAAGCCCGGTGTATCTGCTCTGCTTCTGCAGCGGTTGCCACAGGACATACGAAGCCGTGCTTTGGAGGCCTGCGATGACCGTCTGCAGTAGAGTCAAGGCCTTAGCGCTTTACTCAGAGCCATCCGTGATCTGCTGGCGGAGCGCTTGATAAACTGTTGCTTTCAAGGTGCACTTTGCCAGACGCTCTCAAACGCATGAGGACATCGCTCGCAATCTCTGTCAACCCAAATCCTGCACGTCATAAGGGTAGGAAGTCGTACCACACGGGGGCACAAAAAAAGCAGGCAAAACAGTAGAGGTGGTCGCACACGGACAACAACCAGTGTCCTGTAGTTGATGGGATGTATGAGCTGCACTGCTAAAATGGCCCAAAGCGTCACCATCACGATGACCATGATGACCTGAGTTTGAGGTCAGCTCGTGCGTGGCCTTTCCAGCCCGGTGAAAATAATCGTTTCAGGCCCGCCCCCTTCGCAACAGCATCCAAAAATGCTGGCAGGCCACACCCCAGAAGACTGCGCTGAGAGAAGCAAGGAAGCCTTGTGACGAATGCTGAAGTAGATGCCGTACCCAGCGACACATGGGCCATGTCCCTACTCTGCAGCCAAAGGCTCTGAGCATGAGCATGCTGAGCTCGCGGGACTTGCGAAGCAATCTCACCGCTCGTAAAATTCTGATAATTCCTCGGCCAGGTGAGAAGTCGACCCTAAATTGTCCCGTGAAAAAATAACGAATACTTTGCCAGGTCTCTCAAGAGCCGGACAGCAGAGAACGCGCTTGTGGCCTCCATGCCTCTCGGGCTGAATGTCACCATACTAGCAGGAGAGATACGCCGGGCTAGATTCGATTCGTACAGCACGGAGGCTCTACTGACTAACAGTGTGGCTGCCGAAGTCCCACGTACTTGAGCGAACGCCGTGCAAGGTCCTGCAAACTCCTCGACTGCGTAGATTGACAGGTCCAAGAGAACGACAAAGGCGTCAATCAAGTGACTGGGCATGGTGAACAGCGTCAGCTGGAAAGATCCGCTACAAGTCAGACAGACTAGATCTACAAGCGCACATGGGCCAGCCGGCAGCAACATTGCAGCATCTAAGTGCGCCCGATCTCGCTCAACGCGGCTCGTTCAGGCAAGTGGCAAGGCATCTAAAAAGATCTTCGACTGGTATACTGCACCTGGGACGGACTACATGAGCACAGCGCGGACTACGACTACGAGCACGAGCACGGGCCAATGCTCTTTCGCAGGGCTTGTCGAGAACGAGTTTCTAGGAGGACCGATCTTGCTACTGGCAGGGGGCATTTGAAGAGCAACTCCAGGCTGAAAGTCCCGAGCATGATGAGGTTTGCAGCCTGCCAGGAAGGCAGCGGCAACATGGACACCAACTTGCCACCAGACGACCTGACACGCAAGCAGAGACAATCCGCTCGGCCTCGACCCATGCAGGGATTTCCCTCTCCACGCCCACTGCTCCAGAATCGACCTGCGCTAACCACAGAACAGCCGCTTGGAAGGAAGCCTGGGGGTCGTGCCAGCTACATATCGCTTGTACACCAGTGACATGGTGCATGGATGACCGTAGATAACCCCAACCGGTTTCCGGTACACATGCAAAACAAGTGAGTCAGCAAATCACCAAGCTAGATTTGGATCTCTCCGCTGGGTGCAGTCCTCAATGATGATGAGGCCAACATTAAACGCGATCCTGAGGCTTCTCAAAGCATGAGCATGCAGCCGCTGTGAAACCCCAGCTGCAGCTGATGCATGCGATTGCACGTGCCTTTACGCTGTTGGACACGTGTGGACTCCGGCCGGGACACATCAGTCCGAGGATGATCTCTGCAGTCAGCGATTTCGACAGGACTGCGAGCTTGAATCCTGAAGTTGAAGGGAACTTGCAAGGAGCGAAGCACCAATGTTGCAACGGTTGTTCTCTGTGCTGCTCTTCTGGTTCGGCTGACGACATGAAATTTGGCGTCTCGGCATTCTCTTACCATGTTCGATCATGCGGGACCAACCTAAGCAAAACGGGCGGAATCTTGTAGTTTGAGCGAGTGCTCCTGGCATCTTTTGTGCTGTGATCCAGCTCCTGTGTTGTCGTTTGTCAGCCTTGCATCTGACCGAAGCAACCGAAAGCCCAACATTGCCCAGTCTCTGATGGGACTGTCGGTCGGCATTCGCGGATCCAGCATATCCGGGATTCCACCTCACATCAGAACTTGCAGCCTCGTCCACATCTCGCCTTTTCCTTGCCCTCTTGCGCTCACTGCATGTGGAACTCAAGCGTAATTTGCCCCATGTCCCGTCCAGTTCTCAGGTGAGTGTCCCCATTTCGCAGACTGCTGGGTCTTCATCGCCGGTGACCTGGGCTGACGGCTGGGTGCTTGTAGTCCGGCGCTTCAAGAGTCAATTCCAATTGCTGCCTGAAGGGCATCCCCAACAATGCGGAGATTCGCCCCCGCATGATGCCTCTCATCTAACCGGCCTCAAAACGGCAGGCTGACAGTCGAAAGGTTGGTTTCTCATGGGCAACTCCGCACAAAGTCCCATCGGTGGCTGACCACTGTAGTCACAACTCAGCGGCAACTCGGCACCACATCTCACTTAACGAACAACTGGCCTAACTATGGCACACTCATTTGCTCAATCATGTGGCGTCTTGCAGGCTCCACACAGACCCAAAGCTCCACGCAGCGACGGCCGCTTCTTTAGGCCATGGCGCTTTCAGCTCCTGTGGGTGCTACTCTGGCTGTAAGAAGATCACCTTGCGGGTCAAGTTTCCTGGGGTCGCATAGTATCCTTGAGGGGGGCAGGTGACGTTGTTCTGATCTGCAGGCTACGATGGGGAGGGCGACTTGTACCATTAACCTCTTCATGTTCGTCAGCTTGAGGTGGAAAGGCCGGCGATGGACTGCAGGCCCTGCACCAAATCTCTCGTCTCAGCGGAAATGCAGCTTTCTGCAAGTAGTGCGGGTCCGATGGCAAAACTGTGGCCACGGCACTTTGCTGAAGAAAATCCAACTTTCGCCTTCCTGGACCAGTTGACACGTGAGGAGCACAGACACGCACGGACCTTCGTGGCTTCGGACGGCGCACCAGGATTACTCTCTGGATGACCAGCGCCAGGAAATGGCCCCTGTCAAAGAAGCACAGCTTTCACGAGCATCGCAGCTCCGAAGCCAGGCCGGGCGGACAGGAAGAGAAGCGCCCACAGCGCTCTGAGCAGCAGGTAGGCCCGAGGCCGCAGCAGAGGCCTGCCAGACGCCAAAAAAGAGCCATTGCTCATTCCTCATCGTCCATGTGCGGCCGTTGTCTTAGGGACGGACGAGGTGGCAAAGGCCTTTGGCCACTCCCAAGCTTGCCACCTGTCTGAGTTGCAACGCGCGACTGCAAGATCCAGCAGAGACTTCGCCCTTGTGGCCTTGGTGCCAGGGAGCAGGAAACGCCCATGGTGGGGCCTCTCCGTCAGGCCCCGCCACCGATCGAGTTTGGCTTTGCAACTCGGAGGCCAAAGGAGCTCTTCGGCACCCCTTGGCAAAAGCGGCACGCTTTGGTGCCCCCAGCCCTAGCTACAGAGTGACTGAAGTGGCGCGGTGGTTCAATTCGAAGAAGGCCAAGGCATCAGGGTAAACAAGACACGGCGACTTGACAAGTCGCTGCAAGAACTTTTGTGGCGCGGTGGTTCTGGGCAGGCAGTGATGTCTTTGGGAGGGACTGGCAACCCACCGGTATTGTGGCTCGCCTTCCTCCAACTGGCTCTGTCACAGAGTCACAAACGAGCATGGTTTTGGTGGATGGTCGAAGCATTACTCCACTGTGCTTTACACATGGTAGAAGTGGAGATGAGATGTTCACACGACCTCAGAACAGCAATGCTACAGCTCCGTCTCATCTGCTTCGCCCACGATCCAGGGTGCGATGGCCTCATACCTCAGGCTCGGATGATGTGGAGACAGATACATCACCTCGCTTCATGGCATCTGCTAGTGGCCCAACATTCGAAAGCTCCAGGGAAGCACAGATGCATCGAAGCGAAGTACCCCTGAGAAGGTGGTGGTGGCACCTCGCTCGTGTGAAAGAATGGCTTTTTCCAACTGTGCGAGTCTTGTCAACTACAAACAGCTTCCTGCCTCATCAAGTTCGGGAAACTCCGGTGGATTGACTTCCGGCTCCGGTTCTTCGATGATGACTGCCTCCGCTGCAATTCAGTTCTTCCACTGCTACCTCCTATTTATCTACTTTGGAGAATGTAAGTAAAAACCCACCCAGAAATTGCAATGTCCAAGGCGGCCAAGCAGATCTAAAGATCATGGATGTGGTGCAGAAACTGTCTACCAATACTCCTACTCTTGCTCCGACGTCAGCAGACACAGTGCAAAGGGCTGCTCCTCTGAAACTTCTCACATGTCTGGTTTGCACAAAGCCGCAACGATGTTACACACGATTTCGTCCTCTTTAAGACAGACATTATGACTTCCTCCACGAAGCAGTCGGACAAATCTTCAAGCTCAAGTCAGTGCCACCTCGACATCCAGAACTGGCTCCTCGGCCCGTGCGTGACCTGTGGATTTCTCTCGCATCCGGCGGTCATGACCAGCTTTCAAAAGCCATTCAGTGACTTTCTTTGCTGCTTTGCCTTCCACTGAGACCGGCCGCGCTGGCCGTGGAGCGGGAGGCGGCGGACGCAGTGGCCGAGGGCGCTTCGGCGCCTGGCACTTCCGCACACATCCTCGAAGAGCAAAGAGGGGCCCAGCACAGGAGAGCACCAGATTCAGGATGGCCAGGTCCACCAAGCACCAAAAGACGTACACCACCTTGGCAGCGGAGAGCGAAGCTTTCACAGCAGGATTCTTCCGTCGTGAATGCCACGACCACCATCCCCAGTGCGAGCTGCAAGCTTGCGATGCCAAAGCTGTCTACTCTGAACGGTAACACATGAACGGCAGCTGACATGAACTTCCACCTGAAGCTCAAATGAATCAGCGCGTACACTCGATCTCCCAAAGCTTTCGAGTCCAGTCCCTTGAGCAAGGATCTCAATGCGTGACACTTGCCGAAGTTCAGCCATGGGTCAGCGAAGAAGGCGAAGTACCTGCACATGTGCTGGTGCTGGGGAAGCTTCTCCTTTCACAAAACCCACCACAAGACCCCTTGCCACTACACGTCTGTAGCACCCAAAGCTCCAGCAACAATACGAAACACTTTACTTCGTCACCAAACCCGAGGCAGGGCAAGCTTTCCCCGAGATCCCGCTGACAGAGCGCTTCGCCCTGAAGTCGGGGGCGTCCCTGGCCCTGGCCCTGGCCTCTTCCACGGGACCGGGGGCTCCGAGTCCTCCTCCTCTTCCTCCTCAAGGGCCGACGGCTTCAACGCAGGACACAGAAGAAGAAAAGCCTCTGCAGAAGTGTGCGGCCCAGCGCTGCCACCCCGTTTCAGCCTCCACCGAACTGCGAGCTTGGCTCGGACCTGAGTTTGCGAGCTCAAGTAGGGTGAGCAACGCGACAGGAAGCTGAGTCCAAACAAGATCCCTGTGCATCTTGTCGAATTCCCAGGCTGAGGTTCAGGATTTGAGGATTCGGCCTGACGGCTCTTCATTCACCGTCTTGTCAAAGCCCTGAGGCAAGGAGGCTACAATCGAAAGAAAATGATGAGAAACAGGATCCTGTCGATCTTACTGGTGGCCCGCAGTGCTATGATAATTTGCCATGTCAACATACCTTGTTCGGTCTGCCACAAGCTGCAAAGGCTCCGACTTTGACAAAGTCTCCAGCAAGCCATTACGAACATTTGTCCTTCAATCTTCTGTCTGAGGGCTTGCATGATGCACGGAACCACAGAAGCGATGTGAACCAACCATGACTAGAATTAGAAGGATTGATGTGTTACCATGCCCAAAATTTTCCCGACACCTTCATTGGTGCTTCTAACCTGGCGGTACCTCCCTGCGCGACTAATTTGAGTGTGAATGTGACGGCAGAATCCCTTACGGGGTCTGTTCCAGAGCGCGTCCTGGAGTCACGTTTGCGTGAACTTCCAAGCTTCCCTACACTCAAAAGCCAAGGCCTAAGCCCTAAACTTGCCGAACTCCTCACATCCCACTCCTCAAAATCGGCTCGCCTCCCGTTCCATTCGCTGCAACTCTTGGAGAACCAAGGGATCCGTCAGGTCAAGGCCGTGCTTCTTGGCATCCTAGCATAAAATAAAAGTGCCTCTGTCGAACTTGAAATCTTCAAGAGCCGGGACGTTTTTCCGAGCCTCCACCAGCTCCGGCGGGGGGTTTGCCCAGTCGATCTTCGGCTGCTCAACGCTGTCCTTCACGACCTGAAATCTGCCGCTGTCTCACTTTGAAGTTGAAGTCATAGTCACAGCAGCGGGTGTCGCATCGCCTTCTTGGCCTGCTTGATCTGGTCGTTGAGCTGCCGAGCCTCGTCTTCCTGTCACGGAGGAGACATGTCAGATAGAGACACAGACACACACACACAGAGACACACACACACACGGGAGAGAGTAATTAGGTGAAGAAGGCACCGGACTCTGCAGCTCGTTTGCCAAGCTTGGTGGTGGTTCAAGCTCTCATGTCTGTCGCAAGCGATTCCTAGGGTCATAAGGTGGTCAGCACCCTACAACCTTCGGAAAGTGGCCGGTGCCAGGGATAACTCCGGCACAGCGGCCAGGGAGAGCCATATGGGCTTGCATGGGTCGCCGCTGTGTCAGAGATATGGCGGCATGCTGACGTCGTCCTGCATTGGCTCTATTCTCGGAGTTTCGCAGGCCGGGGTGGAAACCTATCCATGGGTCTGGCGACTCTGCCGGGGAGTCAGAACTGTGTACGGGCGGCCCTCATACATGTCTGCCAAGCTCTGTCCTTCCTCAGATTGTCGGGTCGCACCCTGGGTGGATGGAGCTGGTCCTCAACAGCCAGCACCAGGCCGTAAATTGAACGAGCATGATTTCGGACAATCAAACCTGCTTCAACTGTGAAGGGGTAGCTCTAGCGTGAACACCTTTTCGATCGCTGCAGGGCTCGCGCATGCACTGCGCAACTTCAACTTGGACAGCTGTGCGGCAGCAAGCTGCAAGCGGATGGGCAAAGCCACGTGCAAAGAATCGGACAGCGTCACGAACGAACCGGCAATAGCCAATTGGGTCGTTTTCTCTGTGCCGCGCAGTCGGCATAGCGAGGCCGGGCGAAGGACAGGAGACGCCGGGTCTACCACCATCAACTGCAGGACCGTGGAGGGGGCGGGACAGAAGTGCGAAATAAGATGTTTGCACCATGGATTTTGTGCCGACTGCATACGGGCTTTGCTATGTTACAGAGTGTACAAAATACCCTGTTGAGGGCAATCAAAAACTTGAAAGCTCGGATGCTTCGATGCATCTTTTCGTTTCGAGGCTGTTGGGCGGTTGAGATCAGGTGACGCGACCATCCCCGTGTCAGTTCAAACGCCGGCATTTACAATGCAGGGACAGCCAGCACGATCAGCCCCAGCTGAGGCTCTCTTCTCTGCAGGCATTGTGCTCGAGCAGCCTCAGCGTCTGGGACCCTGGGTAGTACCCTGCCTTCAGCGATGACGAATCCGGGATCGCTCCAGCGATGCCTCGCGACACACAACGGTCGCAAGCTCGCGTGGCGGCGTGTCATCCCGGACCCGCGACGCCAAGCACGGGGTTCAACGCAGGAGGGAGGGGACAGGCTCAAAGCCTCAAGGCTGCGACCCTCCGGTCCTGTACATCCTATCTACTTGGCCCGAACTACATTGTCTTACACTATACACCGTCCAGAGTTCCGGAACTCTGGTGGCTCCAGCTACTTCTTGAACCTCCTGGCTTGCTTCAACATCTCATCCTGCCAGATGGAACAAGAAGCACTGGAGCAGCGGGGCCGAATACTTAAAGCAATTCGCAAGCGGCGGCATGAAACCGTGACCTTTACACGGTCGAAGCCAAGGGAAAACCTCACAAAATCGTTTTGCTCAACATTGGGCATCGGAAGCTTACGCATGCCTGCTGCCTCCTTACTCAAGTGTTATGCTCCTAGTTGGCAGGGTCTCCCATATCACATGGCCAAAGTATCTCTACCCCTTCCCGTGCAGACCCAAAGTGAGATCAAGCCTCACAGGGGGTGGCTTAGGCTTCGCCAACAAGCCCCGCTCCCTGTAAGGCGGTCAGGAGCTCATGGCCTAGCCATCGGTATACGCAGCTCCATCCCAGATGCCATGTCACCTTTGAAGTCTCGCAACTTCACAACGGTACCTTAGTTTCAGAAAAGCCCTGGCCAGGGCTGCTCTCCGCTCTTGTCTAGCTGCAGGGTGTTCGGTGTGCTGAGCAACGTGAAAAACAACCGGCAGCTACAGTGACCTTCAAGAGTCAAGGAACAGCTGATAAAGGCCTTTCAGGCGAGCAGCCTATGTTCGATCTGCAGTGAGGGCAGTGGGCACCACCACAGGCTTGGTTCTGAACAATCTTGGTGACGCAGGCTTCACAAACGGCGCCGTGCGAACACGGTAAAAGCACCATGCATCCTGGCTCGTCGAGGCAGACCACGCAGCGTGGCACAACGGACTCCTGCGCCGTGGCACGGGTAAAGTCACCAGGGATGAATTTGGGCAACGCCTCTCCCAGGTTGCTGAGGCTCTCAATGTCAGGATCTGTCTGCCTTGCGGACATTAGAAGAGATCACAAGGTCTGGCAACGTCCCTTAAGGAAGCAGAAGAAAGAGGTTGAGGAAAGCTAGATAGCCCTGAGCCCGAAATGAAGCTTTTCCAGCGACTGGCCGCCCGCAACGCAAACGATTGCAAAGTGCTCGCCGAGCTGCTTCGGGGCGGGCTCGTTCGTGGGACAGTCTCGCGCCCCATGAGCCGGCTCAGATTCCTCGGCTGTCGCCAGACTTCCAAGAAGTTCAAGGGCCATTTCACGGCTGTGGCTCGACACGGACACTGGATCGCCAGCTGCCGCCAGGAAGCTCTCTCTGACACTTCCCGCCAGAAGGCTCTGCCGGCCCTCTGGAACTGAAAGAACTTGATGGGTCCGCTTGCACAGTAGAGCAACTCCTCGGGCTTGACCTTTGCTTGCACATGGCCAGGATATGCACTGTGTGACCTTCTGCATGCGGGTTGCCCAGTAGGAGACGTGATTGGTTCTGCGACAACCTGAAGACGCGCAAAGAAAAGGCACCATCCGCGATGCGCCGTTTCCTCGCCTTCGCAGACGAAGGCGGAGATGTTGGCCTGAACATACCTAGGAGGTTCTGTTCTTTCCTAAGATCAATCTGCACCTGCACCCCAATTGGCTCGGGAAGACGGGTGACGAGTCCGAGGAAGCAACGCAAAGGTCGGTCGATAAGACAAGACTTTGCTTCTTAGCCCATGGACCGTACCGGGCTTGTCGACTGCAATTGCTAGCATACTCTGGTATGCTATCCAACTGTAACGTTGGCAGATGGAAGTGTGAAAATATCGCTCCCTGGCCTAGCACTACGCATTCAGCATTCCGTGTTGACTGCATCGACAGGTGTCGCCATCACATCATCAAATACAAGTTGAGGCTTGCCCAAGTCCAAGTCGCTGCCGGTGGTGACAGGAGCCGCACTCGACCTGAGCTGTCGTAGGCAAGACATGAAGAAGCACAAGCAGCCCGCTGAGACTGCATGGAACGTCTGCTGAACCCACGTTTCCTTGCAAACAGGAGAAGTAAAAACAATCGTCTTGACTAAAGAGCCAGCGGCGACTCGGGTCGCTTGGCCTGCTCTGCGTGACAGGCTTTGCAAGACGAATCGCGGGCCGAGGATTAGCGCCTCGATGTCAGGCCGCTTTAAGAATCTTGCAAATTCGGAAACAGCTGAGCAGAGCACCAGTAGCAGGAGCACTGCCAGGACAAAATAGAGGTATGCATCGGTTGGGCCCACGTTTTCCTGTGGGGACAGCTAGGATTTCGACAGTTCGTTGGCAAGTCTCAGGCATGTTGCAAAACCGATGATCGGACAAACAGCATATGAGGGCACCGACACCAGGACTCTCTGCCAGATCAGAACTTGTGCAACACAGAGGTTCAAGTCCGGCTCCTTCACGTTGCCTAGAGAGCTCTGGACCTCTTCTCCAAGAACGTTCCAAGTCAAGCCGTCCGTGTCCATGTCAAGCCGCGGCCTCTCGCTGCAAGGCTTGATGCTCACAGTCTCTGCACGATGTGGCTGTTCGCATCACTCGGAATACCAAGCTTTCGCACTACAGCTCGAGGGAAGACGGTTCCGGCGTCTCAAGGTGCATTGAGGCATCGAAACAGGACCTGGTTTGACGATCTCCCGAGTGCGATTCTCCATCTAAACAGACCTGCCTGAAGTATATTGTGCCTGTGTGGTGTAATAAGCATGTCTTGACGATCTGGTGCTGATATGACCTGTAGCTTGCTTGCATTGATTCCAGGCGGCTGCACAATCCGCGTATCCTCCTCAAAGTTTGCAACTCAGAACCATACAGCTCAGAACTGCTGCACCGCGGAGCCTGCTGTATGTTTACCTGAGCCTGGCTTTGCTGTGCTCGCAGGTGGGGCAAAGAGGATTGAGGCGCAAGGCAAGGAACAAGCAGGGAGGGAAATAAGGAAATCAGTCATGAAACGGTTGTCATGGAAAGACATTCAAGCTGCACAGATTCAATCCCTCTGCAAAAGAAAGCGACATTTCTCAAAAGACACATGTGCATCCCTGCAGTGTGCATTCGAAGACCAGCTGTGGCCGGCCTTGTTGCGGGTTGGCGTGGCACCACTTGAGCCGCAAAGCGCTGCCGCAAACAGGAATCCAAACAGCTCGGAGTCTACTGTATCAGTCTTGTCAGTTCCACCGCCTCACAACCCTCGTCCTCGAGGAGCTGCAGGCGCAGCGCTTCAGGGAAAAGCCGCGAGGCTAGGCCACATCGCTGGGACTTGTGCTGCTAACATGGAGAGCACAGCACATAACTGCGACAGACTGGTTCCGTGTCTGCCCGGGCGATCCCTCTCTGCACACAGGCTGGTTCTGGACATTGCTTAGATTCTGCGGAGTGCATGGCAGAGAGATGGAGAGACTGTTTTGGAATTCTTGCCCCGGGTGCTGGTTGTTTGATGGTTGGTTGAACATGGACCAAAAGCAGTCTTCTAGCTGAAGCACAAACCATCAACGAGCAGAATCTGTCGAGTTGCCCTACCTTGCAAGTTCCTGAAAAGCTAGAAGCCTTGCCGTTCCTGACATAGAGGTCTCGCAGGAGCTCCGCATCTTGAATGCGCTTGTCGATGGGATCCTCCAGAGAACGAGACTAAGAGAGTATGCACCCTTATGCGACTTCAAGCCTGATCAGAGATTTCAGAAATTCTCTGCTCCAGGTCTTCGTAGGTGGCTCCTAGCAGGGCGCATCACTTCTGGCCCTGTTGGCTGCATCGCTCCGGTCTAGTGCCTGAGGCGAGCAAGGAGCTCCCCGTCTTTGTTGAAGCTTTCGCAAGCCTCGCCTCTTGAGCCACCTGCACAGCGTATGGGCGCCCAGCCAGGGACACAAGCCGAGGGGACGTGGGGCAGCTGTGGTCAAACTGGGAAGTGCAACACTTCAACAAGAATACTGGCACTAACATTTGACAATGACAAGAAAAACCTGGTTCCTTTAACCGTCACCGTGAATAAGGGTCACATTGCTGGCGTTGCCAGCTCATCATCCGCCGTTCTGGTTTTGAGCTGAGCTTTGATTGTCCGAACGACATGCCTCAGCACCACTTCCACAATTTCCAATGTCGTGTTGAGGTCTATCCGAAGCACCCAACACCATAATGATGCAGGATCCCAAACTCTTTGCGTTTCTACATGCGCATTGCAGCGGCATTGCAGATTGTTTGGGTTTGACAGAAGTCTTGACAGAAGTGTACGCCTGCAAGCTCCTCTGTCTATGGCACAACTTGCAGGCCTCATTTTGTCTTGACCTCTCAACCGTGCATCATAAGCATCATCGATTGCTCCTTCCGCTTCGAAGTCTTCAGTGGGCAACCATCAACAGAAATCCTAGTGGCAGCTCCGTTTACCCTCATGAACGGACTAAGAGACATCCGATAGCAGGAGAGCAGGGCTGCTGGACAAGACACCCTTTGCAGAGGGAAGAGGCGCTGCACCGCCCCTTCCTGGCACATTGATACATGCACTTCTCGCCTTGTCGTAGATCTGGCCTCGATCGAACAGCCCGGTGTAGGTCTTGGAGTCCTTGTGATGCCCACTGCAGGTACCGGCGTCTCGCAGTGAGTGCAACGGCGACGAAACGGGCCTTTTCTCTTTGCACCCGGCGTTCGGCACGTAGCCTCAAGCTCAAGTTTTTGTGCTCCCAGCTCAAGCTCCAGCTCTTCAGACGACGAGCACTTAAGCCTTCGGGCCTGGTCAAGAGTTTTTCGATGGTCTGGTTGCTGGGATCAAGCGCATTGGCCACTGCCAGGTCCTGGCGGCTAGTGGCGGCTAGTGGGGCCCTCAATCAATCGGAGAGAACCCCTGACGGCTCCTTGATCGCAAGGTCGTGGTCGTAGGCCGTTGCCTTCGTGGGCCTGCTAGGAAGTCTCTCACAAGCGTTTGGCAACGCCACTTCCTGCCTTATCCGCGACTCTGCCCGCCGATAGAGTGCTTTGACATTCTTGGGGTCGAGCCTCACACCGACAGCTCACCCGCTAACACCGGCTACGACGGCCGCCGCCAGTTGAATCTTTCAGCTGCTAGCTCGAGAGTCACGTCACAGGCAGTGATGGCCTGCAAGGCCGCCGAGCATGTTTCCAGCAGGGGGTGCGGAAGAAATTGTAAGAAGTAATGCGATTACAAGCTACAGTAGAACAGTAGAGCATTGATAGAGTTGAGGATTTCTGGGCTCATCTACGCTGCGCACTGGTATCCTCGTCAAACTTGTCCAGCTTCTGCTTGCAGGCCGCCAGATTCAGTGCACACCTCAGCGTCGTAACTCCATGTCAATCCATGTCGGGAACGGTGCGGTTACGCCATAACAATGACAGACTGCCGGGTCCCTCACAGGGCGCGGTGCTTCCGCTGCCACTGTGCGTCCTCTTCCGTGCTGCCCAAGTCGTCCACTGGCCGCAGGAATTGCTGCTGCGAAGTGCACATTCTGTGAGAGCGGAGGCCTAGCTTCAGCACATCATCATCGATGCCCCGGTTGTTCTTTCGCCAGTTGGCATCAGTGCCTAGGCTTTTTGGATCTAGGACGAAAGAAGACTTGCTATCAACCCTTACAAAAGCCCGATCTCAGATCCAGTTGCTCCAGTAGTAATGGACCAGTGATGCGGCCTAACAGAACGTCAAAGGCAGCAGAACCCCAGCGGCAAAGCATTGCAAAGCTGTCTTCGGCCCCGCACTTCCTCGTACTTCTCTATTGCATCCATCCAGGATCCCTTCCTTGGAAGATACTCCCTTCGTGTGTGCTGCGTGTCCCACAAACGCAAGGAAGCAAAGGCCAAAACTTGAAGAGGTCATTACCTTCTTCCTTCAGCCTTTTGGTTACAGCAGTCGGCCGCAGTAACACGGTAAGACTCCATGCAGGACTTGTGCGCCTCTCGGAGATCACCTTCTTCTCATCAAACGGAAGCTGCCTCCAAGCCTTTCAAGCGCTGCAAACGACAACGCGAGAGAAGTCGTCTTCGGTCTCGGCCTTAAAGTCCTCCTTCTCTCCGTGGAACAGCGTGTGTTGCACAAAGAAGGGTCTCGTCCTGATGTGCAAAGGATCATTGCCTCCAACACGACAAGCAGCCGTGAAGCGCGCTGAGCAGGCAGGTGCCCAGATAAGACCGTCACTCGTAGGTCTTTCGCTTTTCGTTCATCTGGGCAGATTTCAGCTTGACCTGAGCAGCGCTGTGCCTGTGGACTTACTGCTCCTCCCTTTTGCACTGAGGGAGAAGACGCTAGCCAAGATTCCGGTGGCGACAATTGTTAGTGGTTTTGTTGTCGTTCCGAACAATAGTAACAGTTAACACACCTCACATGACACATTTCTGACTCCTCACGGCAGATCTTGGAGTGAGGCTGCCTGTTGCAGGATGTTCCCGATCCTGGGCACAAACTGCATCGGGTTCCCATCTACAGGCTGTGGATGTGCGCAGATCTGCTGACGACAAGTAGTGATACAGGATACTGTTAATTAAATACATAGCTGCGCACACTTCAGCGATTCGTAACATCAGATATACTCCGCACAGGCAAGATAAAAACAGCAATCGAATTAGCTACACGAATCGCATCAGAAGCATTCGTAGCATTGCCGACAAGCAGTATCAGAGATTCTGAGCAACTGCAAAAAGTCAACCTGGCTCGGCTGAGGCACTCGTTGTCTCCGCTGAACAGCGACATGGCGACACGGAAAGAGCCTGTACAAACGGAGTGGTTCCACGAGCGATGCCGGTGCAATCAAGAGACCAAGCACAGACACCGGACTTTGTGCATATACATGCACGAGAGGATGACTCCGACCCCCTGCTGAAGGCCTCGCAGGTAAATCAAGCAGGCACCGGGTCTAGATGTACTAGCGCAGCGTTTTGCCGCGCTTCCAAATGACCCTGACAGGCAGATGTGTTTTGGATGCGACAATGTGCTTCAGGGTTGTGGTAAGCTGTACTGCACGGGCTGCGCCGCACGGTGAGCTATCTGGCAGCTTGTTGGCTTCTACCTCTAACCAAAGATATGCTGATATACATGCATCTCAACATAGGACAAGATTGTATGTACTGCGCCGGGTGCGGCACTGATAGCATGTACGATCATGCGAGGCTTTGTTCAACCTTGAGATGCAACAGCTTCGGCGAAGGCGCGCTGAAAGCCCCGTCGAGAGTCTCTGGCGACTCGCTGCTTGAATTCGATCCTGATCTGAGGTCTTGCTCTTCTCTGTTAGCATAGTACGAATTCTTAGTCGACGAAGCTGCCTTCGTGCAGCAGATAAATGCGTCGCACTGGCCCATGGGCCACATGCCGCCCAAGCGGGAGATGCGTAGAACGGCTTCGGCTTACAGGGTCGGAACTATGAAGATTCTGATGTAGATCAGCTTCCAAACGCACCTCCTTCGCACAATCGCTAGCACTGTACATTGTCTGTGCGATTCCGGGACTGCGACTGCATACCATCAGATCTAGAGGTCTGAGCATCAACGGGCGCTGGCATGTGCCAGGAAACTTGCTGACGAATACGGATCGCAAGGCTGGTCACCGACGAAGCCTGGGCGACTGGTCCAGAGAGAAGCTCCAGCCTCATGAGGCCTCCTGCCTACGCTCAGCCTCGGATCGGACTGCGTCTCCCTAGCTTTAAGAAGTCATTCCCTTGCGTATTCCAGGAGGACCTGTCTTTACAATGAGAGGGTTCAAGCATGCATCACAGCAACTGCCTGGACGACCTTGTCGTGAAAGGCTTTCGTTTGGCCTGAGACTCAGCATCTCTGGTCAGACGCATGCGGCAACCGCTGGCGGCCAGACGTCCAAAGAACAGAGGCCATGGCTTGGGCGGTACGTTTTCTCGACCACGCTGGTCTGGAGCCAGCATCGCATGGAAGAGATCCCTGCAGCTAGTGCCGAGCGCGGCAAAACTCGAAACCAAGAGCCAAGGAACAGAACTGCCTGCAGTCTACTGGCGAGGCAGATTCCCCACCTTGCAGAATCGAGCTGGGACCGCCGTCGGTCCTCCTTGGCCTCCCAGCGGCGGTTCAAGCACTTCCAGCCGACCTCTCTTCACGCAACGGAGGGCCTGCTGTTGTCGATCTTTGGCCTTCATCAAGCCGGTCTATGAAACACACTCTCGGAATCTGTCGGATCAACACTCTTGCCGCTAGCCTCAACTCGCGAGCGGCGTCGGGCATCTATCTCGTCCTCCACGGCGACATGAAGACATCACAGAATGTCCCACAACAAACGCAGGACCATTGCCGTTCCCCCAGTTTACAATCGCCAACAAGATGCCAAGGATCTTACGGACATCCGGCGGTTGTCGTCCAGGATGTGCCGGAGCTCTGTCTGAAGAATGGCGAGAACCACAAAGATAAGGCAACAATCTCCGGAGCAAGAATGGCCCAAGAACCAGATTGTTCATGGAGGACTTAGAGCCTCAGATGGCCTCAGAGCGATGAAGCGCCAACTCCAATTACAGTAGTTCCTGCCTTGAGCACTTCGACCTCGGCCTTCAGCCCAGCCACGTCCATGGCCTCCTTGCGCATCCTGGACGACACGAGATGAACACACTCCTGGGATCGGGTCCCGTCCGGGTGGCAGAGCACCTCTGCACCTCTTCGCGCAGGGCCAAAAGCTCAGACCGCGGGCACACACCTCGGAACGTGCACGGCAATCAGTTCCCATGGATGCCGAGGCTTTATGAAACGCAGACTGGCAGTAGACACGCTCGTTCTGGGCTGCACTTGCAGATGATGATGTTTCTAGCGGCCCTGTTTGAAAGGCATCTAACAATCTAAGCCAGGGCTGGAGCTGGCAACGTCGTAAGGACTGGGCGCACGGGCATCGACACGCGCTCGATCCTACGCGTAAAATCTGCACAGCACTCGACGGTGCAGCGGACCTAAACGCCCACCGACCTCCTGGGTAGGGGTGCATGGCATCCTGCATCCAACGCATGCGCAAGATGCAGGGCAGGATGGAGGAACGCAGCGGAGCCGTGCCTGGCACTCGCAGGGTCCCGTGGGCTGCCGCCACGCTGCAGTCACTGGAGCTGCGAGGCATGGACGAGGGCCTCAAAACTGGCGCAGCGAGCTTTCAGCGGAGCATAGCGGAGCTGCTGAGCAGGTTTTGGAGCTCAGCAGCCTCTGGGCCCGCTGCACAGACATAGGCCAAGCCACATGCTGGATGGTCAGATTTTTCCTGAGCATCAGCCATATCAGCATCTTCGGGGCTGTTCCAGTCGGATACAGGCCCCACAGGCAGTTTCTCAACTTGTTGGTCTCAGGGATCCGAGTCAGGGCGGGCGGCTATAAGATCAAGCCTGGCTATCGCTGCGTCCGTGACTTATTGAGGGAAAGGCGACCAACTGCCTCCATGCATCCGCAAACTTCCATAAAGCCCAGCCAGCCCTTTGCTTAGTCGCGCTCGGCATTGGAACCCGCCAGCAACAGCCCACACTACTTCATGCAAAACCAGCAGGAAGGAGCTGAACTATGTTATTTGGAGCCTGGCTGCTTCCAAAACCCCTTGACCGCCATTGACCGCCACACAAATCGATTGAGCAAGGCTCTGTGGGGTTAGCATGATGCAGGATGATGCAGGAGGCGCAGGATGGCGCGGCTCGGGAGCTTCTACTGTAGACTAGGCCTGCCTCTGGTGTCATAGTCATCAGTTCGCATTTTCCGTGCAGACAGCTTTCTGACTCGGAGGCGATGCCGTTCTGACCAATCCATCTGAATTTTGAGCATCTTACTGTGAGCTTGTTGTGACGCAGGCCCGTTTGTTGCAGTCTCTTTGTTGCGGTTGCTCCGGCTATTGGCGCAATGGCTGCGGACATGATTTGGATAAACTCTCCTCAAGCTGCCAAGCTAAGATCAAGGCAGCTTTCCCAGGCTGAGTTGATCCCTCCCCCAAACGCCGCTCTTGCTTTCGACGGCATGATGTCGTCACTTCGCACACCCCCATGGCCACGCTAAGGCCATCAGAGCTCATGCGGGCATCTCTTCGACCTTCTCCACCTCTGGGACCTGTCAGTGAGAGTCTGTAGTGCCTCGGCTACGCTCCGCTATGCCGCTCTGCTTCACACTGATACACTGATGCTTAGCTGCTTCATGCTTTCCGACCGGCCTTCATCAGCAGGTCTGTGAGTCGGGCATCCTTGGCCTTTCCTGTTGCCAGGATGATCTCGAGCATCTCCTGTTCACGATCACAGGCAAAGAAAATAGATCAATCCGCTTTCGCCGGATCTGCCTCTTCCAACTTCTTCATCGAGGACTTTGCGTCTGCAAGCCTCTCTTCTGCCTGACTACACTTCAGCTTGCTGGACTGCCGCACGTCAGAGATCTGACTTACCGTCGTTACTTCGCACTCAGGCCATTCACATCCTTTGCAAAGACGGGGGCCTCTACGTAGGCATCTGTCGCTCTCTGCATGGCATCCTTCTTTGAAGACACCTCGATTAACATGAATACAGGCAACTGCTCCGCTCCATGTAGTATCGTATTGTGGCTCTGCCGCGAGCACCTAACACAAGAAGCCCACCCGCCTCGCGTTCGAGCGTTCGCACGGCGCGCCCGCGCGACTCGATAGCTGTGCGTAGGTCCTCGAGTTTGGGAGGACGTGAATCCCCGGCTCCTTGACACTTGAGGCGGTCCTGAACGCGCTTCTGTTCCGCCTCGGGCCGGCAAGGCAGCCGAGGCATCGGGCATTGCAGAGCGCTGCAGAGCTGACAAAGGCGACGGCCAGGGAGCAGCCCGTCTTGAGCTCCTGCTCCAGGCCGGCAAGCCTTCTTTCCTGTGCAAAAAGCACCGGTACGCCGGCACGCCGGTATGCTGCAGCGCGGCTCTTGCTATCTTGAGGTCACATGCAATGTCCTCCTCCAGCAGCTGCAGCTCCTTCTCCCGCATTTGCGCCTAATGCCAGTTCCGAGCCCTTTGAAAGCACAGGGCTGTGGCAAAACAGCTGGCCTGCAATGCTGCTTTTCGAGCTTGCACCTGCCACTGCTCAAGCCGTCTTAGAAACGGCACTCAGTGGCTCAGCGAAGGACACGCGACAGCGAGAGCCTCGTCTCGTGCTCGCACGATCGAATCGCGAGCCAGCTGCTCCTTTGCACGGGTCGCCTGCCGAGCGCCGAGCAGCGCGCTTGCGAATCAAACTACCACCTTAGAATCTGCGGCCAGCCTCGTCCACGGAGCGAGCAACCTCCAAGACGTTCAAATCGCGGCCTTGAAACTGCAAGAAGCAGGTGCGAATCCCGATCGCTGGGCTCCAAGCCTTCGGTGGCACCTGGCAGTCCTGGTTCAGGTTCTGCCTGTGCTCCTGCTCACCGAAGCAATTGTCCCAGGAGCATACGGACAAAGGCCAAGGGGGGGGGGGCCTGCGGCAACTCTGTCTCCTGGAGAATCGGCTGATGAGCCTTCGTTGCAAGTTGCAGTCCCACTGAGCTGAGCTAGGCAGACTCAAAGTGCTTCAAACGCGCAGCACACTGTGGAAAGAAAGCCCTTCCGACTTCTTCAAGCATCCCTTCAGACATGGGATCCGCAAGCTGCATGGCTGCATGCTCCTGGCAGCGCAGCTTCGGCGTCGTTTGCTTCGACTTTTTCCGGACCTGCGGCGTGCTGACATGAGCCACACATGCCGCAAATGTCCACAGCTGAGACCGTGCCTGCACAAAGCTTCGTGGACGAAGCATCTGTCGTCGAGGACTCCTCTTGCACCTGTCCAGCATAATAGACTGGCAACTGCTGCTTGTACACGCCGTCTTCCTCAGGCAGGTCTGCAGAGGAAAAGGGAACTGTAGACGACACAAAGCTGAACTCTCGCTACTTCTTCTCTGGACCGTGAGTGCCCCGCCCAGAATGACATGCTCTCCGTGAGAGGGATGCGAAAGCGGAGTTGTTGTGCTTAGCCGTGCCCCCGGTCACCACTGCGACGAGAAAACTGGCTCTTTCGGGCTTAAGGGAGACGCGCAGACACACCCTTCCGTCCTCGCTCTCTGTCTTCTCTTCGCTCTTGGTTGTAGTCACTTCTTTGAGCTTGTTGATGTAAAGAGGGGTCTCTTCGCCCGTTTTCGATTCAGTGCAAACGCATTTCGTCTGCGGCAATTCGCATGAACACGGCACGACTGAGCTATGTCCCGGGGCGTCTTTTCATCAAGGCGCTGCGAAGCTTCCGACGCAAAAGCAGTTGCACAAGTCCGCTCGTGCCTTTTCCGGTCTCTGCATCGGCGGTTTTGGTCTCTGCTTGGCGCCTTGATGCGGTTACGACAATGCTGACGACAGGCCTGGCAAGCAGTCGTGAAGGCTTTGATCTCAGGCGGCGTCCTGTCGCCCGCGACTCTTTCGCAGACAACCTCGGCGACGGCTGACTCACACAAAGCTGCGAGGACTCTTTGAGTGCATCTTCACCGTCCTCTAGATTAATTCGCCTCGGCCCCGCCGAAGCGGTCAGAGGTTCCTATTCGGATTCCGTCTATTCCCCACCTCTTAATCCCCTCCCCAGTGACCCCACACCAAAAATCGGGGCCACTGCCCCCCCCCTTAAAAATGGAAACGTGTCACTGAGCTCCAAGGTACGGCTGTGAATTCTCCCCCCCCCTCCCCCCCCTCCCCCCCCTCCCCCCCACCCCCCTCCCCCTTCCCTCCCGCCCCTCCTACGACGACACGGGACTGCAATGTAGCATCTTTATGTGTTGGGGCTCGCCTTTGAGGCTGCAGTACCAAGCGAGTTTCAAACCTGAATTCCTAACCCTACACCCTAACCCCAGCCTGAAAAATTGGGGCTCGCCTGTAAGGCTGCAGTACCAAGGGAGTTTCAAACCTGAATTCCTAACCCTACACCCTAAGCCTGAAAAACTTTCAAAGCCTGCACCCGAAAGCACGACGCCCCCCTTCCCCGCCCTGCCCCCCCGCCTCCCCTCCTCCCCCACCCTCCCGCCCCTCCTCCCCTCGCTGACAGGTGCGAGCTTTCTGGGAATTTCCGACGACACCGGACTGTAATGTAGCATGTTTATCTCTTGGGGCGCGCCTTTAAGGCTGCAGTACCAAGGGAGTTTCAAACCTGAACTCCTAACCCTACACCCTAACCCCAGCCTGAAAAATTGGGGCTCGCTTGTAAGGCTGTAGCCACTCGCCGCATGCGCGTACAGCCGGGCCGAGGCGGACGACGCGCAGCGTTTCAAATTACCCTAAGACACTAGGATGGGACCCACGTTGAGGTGAGGGACTTGCCTGACAGTCGCACTTCCAAGATGTACCATCACGGCTTATGTTCATCATTCGGAACATTTCAATACACTCACAGTTAATGTCGTCTGCAACTGAAGCAAAGCTGACATGTCCCCATGATGACAAGCAATCACATGATGCAGAAAGCAACTCACCAAACTCTGCACTGGCCATGTTGGTTCGCAGATGTATGAACTGCGAGATGGCTGCCATGACGGCACAGGCAAACATGCTTTCCCGACATCATGTTTAGAGCTTTCGTCGTTGGAAAGGCAAATGATCTCAGGAATATCACAGTTGTTCCCGCTTGGCCCCGTTTAGGACAAACAGACAAATGTCTTGATTTTACGCCTTCATATGATGTGAACCCTTCTTCTGAGATAGCTTGTGCAACACTAGAACAAACGAACAAGCGACTGAATGCTGACAGTCAATCTGGGAATAGTGACACGTAGTGACATACTGTTGGATGGCGGCCGTCAGGACCTGCACATGACAGAACTCCAGAACAACTGCGCAGAGCCAAAACGAGACGTCTGCTCTAACTCAATGTTGCTCAAGACGATTCAAGAGAGCATTCAGTTTCAATTTTTCTAGCATTTCAATCGTTGTTGCAGTTCGTGTCAGCCACGGTCTGACACCGTGGTCTGCCCCTGCCGTTTCCGAAGTCGAAGTCGTTCCCCCGTCAAGCCAGTTCAAGCAATAATGTGCATATGAGGGAAGAGACTGAGCTCGTTTTGTCCCGTCGCCATCTTCCATACCGAAAGTAGTATCAAGCACTTGCTTTGCCTCACTTTCGGAGCAAACCTGCGCAGACGCAAACGGTCGCTCGACACAACTTTGAGGTTTCCCAGGGATGTAGGCGCTGACACTGCCTGCAGCAACCAGCGAACCCGCAGCTGTTGCACCTCACATGAGACAATCACCAGCGAAGCTTTGTTTGTTTTCGAGTCTGCCCACCTGAGCTTCATCCAACAGTCCAGGCTGCAGAAACCCCTTCGTGTCCAAGGTCGCCTGAGAACTCGAGGCTTGGGGCTCTGATGGATACATCCATTCCTAGACAAGCGGACGTTGTTCAACCTAATTACAACCATGTCCAAGTGGCCAAGAGCACTGAGCAGGCAACTGCGACATTGAAAGAGACACACCTGAGAGGGTAGCTCAATGAACAAGATGCTGCAAGAAATGCAGCTGTCACCAACTTGACGGTCCCACATTCCGTCGGTGGGAATAATGCAGGATCCGTCGACATGGCGCTGCACTTCACGTGAGACGCCGGCAAACCTTTCCGGCACATGGAAGGAGGGAGAGAGTCTGCACGGCACATTCTAGATCGCCTTGAGACTGAAAAGCTAGGACGCCTCCGAAACGAGAGCCAAGCAGCTCCGAGCCCAGGACGAAGGCCAGCTTCTGTCTCTCACGCCTTAAGCGCTGTGGCAATTGCTCAGCTTCCGACCTCTCCTCCATGAAATGCCAAGTGACGGCATGAGCGACCTGGCCTCCAGTAGCTCCTGCATTGACGACACAGAGAGTAAAGACAGGAAGAGGGGATGATCTCAGGTCTCAGGCCGCAGGGCCGCCTCCAGCGGCTGGCTGGTCTCTGTCAGCGCGAGGCTCCACACTGCGAAGCCTTCGGCCCGCAAGGCCTTCGCTGCGAAAACGAAGCCTTCACGAAGCCCCCCCAAGACGAAGGGAAGGCAGTCAAGCATGCTGATATGCCTCGATGCAGGATCCCGCAGTTCGCCAGCGACGGACGAGGATCCACGGCTGCGCTGCTAGAGCCTTGCACCAGAACACCAAGGCGAGGGCCAACGGCCAACGCGATGTAAATGTTCACTGCACCAGGTCTCACCTGGGCAAAGGAGTCGTTGATGCTGGCGTCTCGTTCTGCCTTGTCCTCGGTGGAAGCAGACTAGCGAACTGTTCGGCAACAGCTTGGCATACAGCATCAGGCTAAACCCGAATTGACCCACCACTCCCCACAAACTCAGCAGAATCCGCCCAAGTATCTATCAGCTCCAGGCGCAGTAGTCCGGCCGCGTCCATCGTCCTGCGACTCGAAAGCTGCGAAGCTTTGACGCTTAAGCCCTCCCGGCCTCAGAATGGTCCACGCATTGCTCAGGTTGCACGGCCCGTCCAAGACCAAAGAGACGTCTGCAGACTTCTGCTTCAATATAGACTCGACCTGCACAATGCCACGAAAACTACTAGTAAAGAGAGCATGTACGAGCCGCTGAACGAGGATCAGCACAAGCTGGCCTGGTTGCTCCAGGAGGGCCCTGCCAGCTTGGCCAAGGCTGCGGCCGCACGAGAGCCTCTTCATAGCGCTTTACTGAAAATCCGCTGTAGCCGGCGCATGCCAGCCTTGCATCTGGCTCGCCTTCGCCAGCCTTAGCTTCACACCAAGTTTGTATACTGCGAGAGAGCATCATGAGGAGCGGCTGCAAAATGCACGCAGGCCATTGCAGCCTAGGCTCGCATGCCAGGCACACTGCGTCAAGTCGGTGCGGCGCTGGGCTGCTGGAGCCGCTGCAAAACCAGACGGGACAGGATCGTGCCGACGCCGCTGAGTGTATCCTGGGATATCATCCCTGGTTTTTGGAGCCTACAGTAATCAGTAGACCTGGTACACCTCGATATTTTCGGAAATCTTCAGAGCAAGACTCGCGCACCCCAGTCTTCCCAAGTCCAACGTTCCCAGGAGGAGAAGTGTCCTGGATCGCCCAGCGATCTCATTCGCAACCGGAACCCCTCGGTTGAAGCTTTGAGAGGGAGCGCATGCGCAGGTCAGAAACCCAAAGCGCTTGACTCCACGACCCTTGCTTTGCTTGATGGCGGCCGGCGTGCTCTCCGCAGACCCGCAGCAATCGGCAAAAGCCAAGATCTACGATCTGCTTCCCGAGGCCATGGTTCAGCATCTCCTGTTGCAGAAGCATGAATTGCCAATCGTGCAATCACTGTGTCAAATTATGCCTGTGTCTGTTCCTACAGCCCGAAGACTCCAAACCACTCCTTACTACCCGTTGCGCCATCAATTGGTGGCACAGTCGGCTGCATGAAACTTAATCGTCCTGGTGCTGCAACAGTAACAACGGTTTGGAGGATGCAGTTTCGAGGAGTGCAGCATGCAAAAGACGACCAAGTACAGCTGATGCCCAGCACAGGGTAGATAAACCGATACCTGATTGGCTCAACACAGGAAACACCCAATTGCCAAAAAACTGTGCATTTCCTTCCATGAGGCCTGAAATCCTTTCAAAAGCTCTGCCCTCTGGCCCTGGCCCTGCAGATCCACAGCGTCCCACTACAAGGAGTTTAGTCCTCCTCCTGAAAAGCGGGGGGGCGCTGGCCCTGCCCCAGTGCAGCTCGTCGGAAATGCACCGGCCCTGGCCCTGCACACTCGGCTGTGGATCTGTCCGGAAAGCACAGAGCCTTCATGAGCCCGAGCCCTAGCGGCCTCAATAGCCCGGAGTCGGCAGTATGAAGACTCAACGCCATGGCACTGGCGGGTGGCGGCGGCTAGCGGCAGCTAGCGGCGGCTGGCCGGTGACTCCATGACACGATCCACAGTCCTATAAGTCTTCTGAGTTTGAGCCAAGCTCTGAGCCAAGGGTGCAGAACGGTGAGACTCTGGATTTCTCTCTCACTGCTGTGTGCCCCGACGGGGTGGCTGGCGGTGTTGCTGGCGGCGGCGGTGGCTTCGCCACAGCACGCGGATCCTCAGAGCACGAAGCTGCAAAGGAGGTTCTGAAAGGTTTGCAGTAAGATGCTGTACGAGGCCCAGGCATACCAATCCAGCCCAGCCATGCCCGCAATGGGAAGGCAAGCGGCAAGGGGTCACGGACAGACGGCTTGGCCTAGCTTCCTGGGGTAAGTCATTGATTGGTGGATGCTCCTTCGATGCAGCGCCATTGGCCTATACCAGAAGAGCTTAAAAAGCATCCAGACACATCATGCAGACCAGACTGGCATCAAAGCACTGCAAGCTGCTGCCAACGAAGGAACTTCACTTGAACTTCGTGCTCCAAATGCACCTATTCTGCGGGCTTGGCACGCATGTTTAGGCTCTGCTGCAGGGTCAGCATGCACCCTCAGCCGCTTGGCTGGTGCAGCTGCAATGCTCTCTCCTCCAAGCGCACAGGGTAGGAACTTGGCGGATGAAGCTGTGGCTCCCAGCAGCGGCCTTTAGCTACGTGTAGGAGAGCCCTTCTGTGACTTCTAGTCGAGTCTCAGGCTGGCGTGGGTTCACAGATCAGTCTTGCTGCTCCTGCAGGAAGTAAGCTGCCACGGAGTTGGCGGCAAGCCCCCCGCGCAAAGTCACCTGGGCACCAATGGCAGGCCGAACGACTCGAAACTGACATGCATGATTTTTGTGCGCATAAAAATCACGCAGCCGACTCTTCAGTCCCCTACTTGACAGATGGCGATAGGCGAAAGCAATGCTTGCCAGACCGAACAGCATGGTGCAGCCTATTGATTCGTGCAGCGCTCTGGGAATACCCACCTGTCTCAAGTCGGGGGGCACCTCCTGGCCCAACTCGATGCGGACCCTAAGTTGCTTGGAACTGTATGGACGAGGTGCTAGGAAACTCTTGCAGCGGGGCACTGACATCTCTGTGCAATCTCTGTCAGCTGGCCCTTGGGAATCAGCGACTCCTTCGAGGCTGTCGGGAGAATCAGACATGCAAAGCGACCTCGGTGCTCCAAACACAGCTACGATCGATCATCCGTGCATCCATCCCAATATCCACGCAACCCTTCTGGCGGTATAGTTACAAGCCTTCCTGGGTCCTTGCAGAAAACCGTCCATGAACCCCTGTAGAAATCCTTCTACATACCCAATAAGCTTCTGTGAAACCCCTTCTAGAACCCTTTCTACAAACCATTCGATAGATTCTTCTACCAGCCCTCCTCAAACGCTTACATGAACCCTTCCACAAACCCCCCTCGACCATGTGCAGCCCCATTTCGCGTGACCGAACATGCCATCACACATGCAGCGCCGTTTCAGGGAGCACGATATCTGCTGCCCTCCATCAACTTTATGACAACCTCACATCCTGCCATCCAAGACAATGCCTTGCATCCAACATCAATGCTTCAAGTAGATGTCAGAAACCACGGAAAGACGGTTCGCAACACTTTCACGAAGAAGTCCTGCAGCAGCGAAGCTGGTAGAAGCAGGTGCAGCTGAGACGTGGAGCCGGCAATCCTGCAATACACAAGAAACAGAGGATAGTCGGATAGCCTGCTTCATATGCATCATCGGATGTGATGTTACTTCGGGACATGTACATCCCTTTAGTGCCTACTACCTGATCTGAAGCCGAGGGTCATGCCCCCTTGCAAGGCAGCTCGGAACATCATCTCGCTGCCAAGGCTGCCCATCCCTGCAAGCCCATCAAAGCCTAACGAGGGCGAGTCGGTTTCACGGAGGCTTCACGGAGGCTTCACGTCTGCAGCCGAGATGCCCATACCCATGACCCCCATCCTTGGATTCTCGATCTTGGAAACGGTTGCCTCTTCACAAAAACACAGGCCAATGCCAAGCATCCCCAGAGGGCCGGCAAACGCAGGACCACGACCATCGATGCTCGTCCCGCCACCTGCAAACAGAGTAGCTGCCGCTGCACGATGTTCCGTTGAAGTGTGTCAGCGTCAACTGTGTAAATGCCTGTCCCGGCAGACGATGCTGATGGGCTGAAGGTCGTGGGCCCACCTGGAGCATTGCACGACTTTCAAGGGAGCGAAGATTGCGAGGGCTGCAAGCGATTGCGACATGCCTGGTGCGGAGCCTCCGTCTGGGCCGAAGCTCATCTTGCCACCTTTGCCACAGCTTGCACACCACATGACGCCCCATGCTCCAGACGAAGACCCTCGAGCCCACGCCTATGCTTGGCTTCTCGGGGCTGAAGCTTGTAGGACCACCTGAACATCCAGAAGTCCATGCTGTAACACGATAATGGAGCTTGAGAGCCCGAAGCACAGCAAACACTGTTGTACTTGTTGTCGGTTCATTGCAACACGCACTCGTCTACATTCGGAAAGCTTCCTGCAGTAACTTCTGTATCTCGCTCTCGCACTCTGCAGTAAGTTAGTGGGTTGCCACGGAGGGATGTGCGAGCTTTGCACAGGCCCGCCCATAAAACTTCTCTGTCTGCATCTTGCAGATCCATGCCAGCTCTGGGTGCTGAAGGCCGCGAGGGTCGCTGGGCTTGGCGGCTACCGACTTGACTCATGCCTGGCTCTCGGGTCCCAGATTTTGATGGCTCCGCTCCACCTGCTCCGCTGGAAGGAGCCGATGGGCCGCCTGCGAAAACTGCGGAAAGCTGCGCTGTTGCACGGCCTGCAATCGCCGGCGAATCTGAGCCAGCGGCCCGCAGCCGGAGCATCAGGGCTGAAGCTCATTTTGCCACCTCGGGGTGGAAGTGGCTCTGTCGACGTCTTGCATGTCACATGGCGAACGTGCACATCAGCCCATACCATAGCTTCCAGCAAGAAGAGGAGATTTGTTGCACGTCTCAGCACAAGCCCATGGCCTGGAGCGCCAGGCCCATCAGGACTAAAGCTCATCTTGGCACCTGCGGCAGCTGCTGTGAGGATATGTAGGGGTCTCGACTCTTGTATCTACCAGACACTTCATGGCGGGGTGTGGATCTTAAGCCGATCAAAAGACACGTTCTGGAACGCTTCGTGGCTTCATCCTAAATCTTCTGCAATGGCTGCTTCTGCTTGTGGAAGCACATCCCCCTGGAAATACACAAGTTTTGACTCAAAAACACAAGCTCTGATTCGTAGCACGTAAGTGGCCACAGTAAAGGCGGGACAACTTCTTCCCTACAACTCCAACACTCTTACAACTCGTCGTCAGTATCATTGAGGTCTCCAGAACTGCTTCAGCAGAACATTAAGCCGTCAAGCCAATCTTCAAAGTCCTTCAGAAACGAATAGGCCGTCCACGCAATAAAACCTACTTCGTCAGAGCCTGCCACAAGCAACCGCCCTTTCATACATGCCCTCCGTCGGAAGCGGCATGTCGCACTTGCGTCTCACGGCCACGCAATCTTACAAGCCATTGCGATACAAAAAAAGGAGAAAAAAAAGCAACTGCCAAAGCGGTGAGCCTGCTCCATTGGAAGGAGCCGATGGGCCGCCTGCGAAAACTGCGGAAAGCTGCGCTGTTGCACGGCCTGCAATCGCCGGCGAATCTGAGCCAGCGGCCCGCAGCCGGAGCATCAGGGCTGAAGCTCATTTTGCCACCTCGGGGTGGAAGTGGCTCTGTCGACGTCTTGCATGTCACATGGCGAACGTGCACATCAGCCCATACCATAGCTTCCAGCAAGAAGAGGAGATTTGTTGCACGTCTCAGCACAAGCCCATGGCCTGGAGCGCCAGGCCCATCAGGACTAAAGCTCATCTTGGCACCTGCGGCAGCTGCTGTGAGGATATGTAGGGGTCTCGACTCTTGTATCTACCAGACACTTCATGGCGGGGTGTGGATCTTAAGCCGATCAAAAGACACGTTCTGGAACGCTTCGTGGCTTCATCCTAAATCTTCTGCAATGGCTGCTTCTGCTTGTGGAAGCACATCCCCCTGGAAATACACAAGTTTTGACTCAAAAACACAAGCTCTGATTCGTAGCAGGTATGTAGCCACAGTAAAGGCGGGACAACTTCTTCCCTACAACTCCAACACTCTTACAACTCGTCGTCAGTATCATTGAGGTCTCCAGAACTGCTTCAGCAGAACATTAAGCCGTCAAGCCAATCTTCAAAGTCCTTCAGAAACGAATAGGCCGTCCACGCAATAAAACCTACTTCGTCAGAGCCTGCCACAAGCAACCGCCCTTTCATACATGCCCTCCGTCGGAAGCGGCATGTCGCACTTGCGTCTCACGGCCACGCAATCTTACAAGCCATTGCGATACAAAAAAAGGAGAAAAAAAAGCAACTGCCAAAGCGGTGAGCCTGCTCCATTGGAAGGAGCCGATGGGCCGCCTGCGAAAACTGCGGAAAGCTGCGCTGTTGCACGGCCTGCAATCGCCGGCGAATCTGAGCCAGCGGCCCGCAGCCGGAGCATCAGGGCTGAAGCTCATTTTGCCACCTCGGGGTGGAAGTGGCTCTGTCGACGTCTTGCATGTCACATGGCGAACGTGCACATCAGCCCATACCATAGCTTCCAGCAAGAAGAGGAGATTTGTTGCACGTCTCAGCACAAGCCCATGGCCTGGAGCGCCAGGCCCATCAGGACTAAAGCTCATCTTGGCACCTGCGGCAGCTGCTGTGAGGATATGTAGGGGTCTCGACTCTTGTATCTACCAGACACTTCATGGCGGGGTGTGGATCTTAAGCCGATCAAAAGACACGTTCTGGAACGCTTCGTGGCTTCATCCTAAATCTTCTGCAATGGCTGCTTCTGCTTGTGGAAGCACATCCCCCTGGAAATACACAAGTTTTGACTCAAAAACACAAGCTCTGATTCGTAGCAGGTAAGTAGCCACAGTAAAGGCGGGACAACTTCTTCCCTACAACTCCAACACTCTTACAACTCGTCGTCAGTATCATTGAGGTCTCCAGAACTGCTTCAGCAGGACATTAAGCCGTCCAGCCAATCTTCAAAGTCCTTCAGAAACTAATAGGCCGTCTACGCAATAAAACCTACTTCGTCAGAGCCTGCCACAAGCAACCGCCTTTCATACATGCCCTCCGTCGGAAGCGGCATGTCGCACTTGCGGCTCACGGCCACGCAATCTTACAAGCCATTGCGATGGAAAAGAAGGAAAAAAAAACAACTGCCAAAGCGGTGAGCCTGCTCCATTGGAAGGAGCCGATGGGCCGCCTGCGAAAACTGCGGAAAGCTGCGCTGTTGCACGGCCTGCAATCGCCGGAGAATCTGAGCCAGCGGCCCGCAGCCGGAGCATCAGGGCTGAAGCTCATTTTGCCACCTCGGGGTGGAAGTGGGTCTGTCGATGTCTTGCATGTCACTTGCGGAGGAGGGACTGGGACGAAAGCTAGAAGCGTCAACAACCGAGGCTTTTCCAGTGAGGGCAAGCATGCATACACGCCTAGTGAACTCCAATTACAGAAACCCTAACTCTTGAACCCCGCGAATGAGCACCAAGACCATCCCCCTCAATGTGGGTGACACCCACCGGGCCAAGCCATGCTCTGCTTGCGCTTCCTGTTCGTCGAGATGCAGCTGCGTATAAAATGGTAGAAAAACAGTATATGGAAGAGGTTGGATCAGAGCTTCATGCATACATCTATATATGTACATATGTACATATACACAAACATACCATAAATACATGTGTATATCGTGCCTAGAAGCCAATGGCTTCAGGTCGGGCGCCCAACATAGAACAAGTACACGACGCGTGAGCATCATGAGTTGCAAGCACATAAGCATCGGAGCCAGCAAGCGCACATCGCGAATCCCAATCCGAGCCAACAAGCCCGCATCAGGAGCATCATTGGGAGCATTGGGAGCTTCTTGGGGCCAACAAACGCGCAGCATGAGCATCATCGGGGAGCCGTTTTTCCACTCGGAAGAAGTCTGAAGCACCACATTCAAACACCCCAAAACGGGGCCGGCGGGGACCGGCCGAAAACCAGCACCAGGTGGGGAGTAGCCCTTCCCCACACCCCTAGATGCAACCTTTCGGTTGGTAAGGAACTCAGCTAGCCACGGAGGCTAGCTTTCGTGACATGGCGAACGTGCACATCAGCCCATACCATAGCTTCCAGCAAGAAGAGGAGATTTGTTGCACATCTCAGCACAAGCCCATGGCCTGGAGCGCCAGGCCCATCAGGACTAAAGCTCATCTTGGCACCTGCGGCAGCTGCTGTGAGGATATGTAGGGGTCTCGACTCTTGTATCTACCAGACACTTCATGGCGGGGTGTGGATCTTAAGCCGATCAAAAGACACGTTCTGGAACGCTTCGTGGCTTCATCCTAAATCTTCTGCAATGGCTGCTTCTGCTTGTGCAAGCACATCCCCCTGGAAATATACAAGTTTTGATTCAAAAACACAAGCTCTGATTCGTAGCACGTAAGTGGCCGCGAATGTCGCGCACGGAGCTAGGAATCTCGGTTTCCTCTCTGGTTTCACCAGTCGGCTACAGCAAGATCATTTTCTGCAACAGTGTTTTCGGAGTAAGCCCACGGCCCGGTCCAGGTTCATCAGGGCTGAAGCTCATCTTCATGCCTGCAACCAACATCCCAACAAATCCCCTGCGGCCAAGCACAGGTGACGCTACCAGGACGACCATACCCCCCCGTCCCAAAATGCCAGCGCATTGCATCAGGCCTGCACTGCTCGACATCGCAGACGGTGGCGCACCTTGGTTGCAAAACGAGCGAAGTGCCGAAGCTGGGCTTGCGTGCTTGCCTCTCAGGTCTGTAGAACGGAGAGCCGCGGTCATCAGTGTGTCTCTACCCTTGGGCTGAGCCCTTGGCTGGAAGGGCCGTTGGGACTGAAGCTCATACGAACACCTCCCGACACGGGGAAATGGCTGCACAAGGCTGCGAAAGGAAGCTCCGTACTCAACTCAACATTGCGAAGAACGTGCCATTCTGAGAGAATGGCCACCACTGCTAAGGCCAGGTGCCCCACTGCTTGGAGCGAAGCTCATGGCAGAACCTTGCGTGCCAACCAGGGCTAACATTTGCACCTTTCAGCCGCCTTTCAGCCGCCTTTCAGCCCGAGCTGCCTCCAGCTGTCGGCCCTCCACTTGGACCGAAGCTCATCTGCGTGACGCCTCTGAAGCCACAGGCACCGACAAGCACAGAAAAGCTTCCGAAAAAAACTATCCCGTGGCTCTGAAACTTGAACCCGAACAGTTCTTAGCACGGCATTCAGGCCTTTCGACTCCTGGCCTGGCCTCTCGTTGCACACGCCTCTATTTGCCCGCGCAACAGCCAAAAACGGTTGCAAAGATTGTCGCCGCGTCGTCGCCTGTGTGTCTGCATGTCTTTTTTTGCACGTGTGTCTGTGCGTGAACCTCACACCCACATGTGTGCATCTCATATAAACAAATGACAGATAGGTTTCATCGAAAGCTCTTGTTACCCAACAGTTCGATTGAAACATGTCTCATGACAGCCATGGTCCGGCGGATGAAGGACGCCAACAAATCGCTGAACCTTTGCTCGGGGTACGACGGACTGAAGCCGCTTCATCCGTGCCTTCCGCTGCATCTGAATGATTTGACAAGTTTCGCAACCCTGAATTTTGCGCCAGCCGTAGTGAGTCAGTTAGTTCATTAGAAGCACGGACCGCGAGGTTGCTCCCTTGAATCGACGGCTCGTGTCCCCGCTTTGAAAACAGGACGAGGAGCTGCACCATAGATGTCCATTCAAGCCGTGCAAGTGTGTCAAACAAGCGACAGGAGGCACAGGCCTGTCTTGGATGCCCGTGCCCCTGTGACTGCCCGCAGCCAAAGTTTTGCTTCTGGACGTGCCCGGTTGCAGCAATCTGCACATGCGTAAGCGCAGCAAGTCACAACTTTGCGCAGCCAGCCAGAGACATTTGCTTTCATCCATTAGTGCTTCGCTTCAAACTCTACTGTATTTTTGCGTGTGTGTGTGTGTGTGTGTGTGTGTGTGTGTGTCAGGGTGTGTGTGTGTGCGTGTGTGTGTGTCTTTAGGAACCCTGTAACCAGGGGATAGAAGTACACTACACAGTTTTCCAGCAAGGGGGGCGAGGAGGCCCACAGAGCTCTGCCCAAAGAAGCTCTCCATGGTGTCCTCAAGATACTGGAACTGATCATCCCGGCGTACCCAAAAAGCCCACCATGAGTGCGAACATCCTTTGAGAAAGTATGAGTGTGGGTGTGTGTGTGTGTACTGTATTTGTGTACTGTGTGTGTGGACTCCTCTCGTACATGAGGTAAGGGGCTCACAACCCAAACATGCTTGCAACATTTTTGACTAAGATTTTGCAGGGGCAATGGGCACTCCTCGGCAGACCCACTGCAACGAAGCTATGCCTTGGAGTGGGAAGCAGTTCAGGACGCTGAACTGTGTACCTGCAAGCTGGGCCCCCTGAGGCAGCAAGATTAGAAACCGCTGGCCCCCTGAGGCAGCAGAAGCAGAGTCTTTTCAGTTTTGCATTCACGTCGATTGAACATGCAGCTGGTTCGCACGTTTGCCGCAATCTGACATGCATGATGGCTCGACCCCCATGACTCATCACAAGCTGCAGTGGGATGGTTTGCATTAAGTGCTGCTAGAGCATGTACTTCAAGTGCATCTGTCCGCGAGTGCAGAGAACACTTTCCAAGTGTGCGACCGTGTGTTTAATGTCATTCTGTGTGCCTGTCTGTCTGTTTGTTGAACTTGCTAGAGCTCATGGAAGCAACGTGTCATACGGTTGATGATATAAATCCTGCATTACCCATAATGAGGAATATACCATAAATCCCATAGTTTAGGGTCCTTGAGGTAATGCATGATTTATATCATCAACAGTGCCTGCCAGGTCGATCTGCAACCAGGCTTACGCACCGCATGTTCTCGTGTGTGTGTGTGTGTGTAGCACGACGCTAGCGTTCCTCTCCGGTGCACGTCCCTGGGTTGCGCTGCATGTTTGTGTTCCTTCCAGGTAGTTGCGTCCCTTTGCCAACGAACAGATTCTCCGTTCCGCCTGAGGTACCAGTGGGAGCGAAGCTCATCTGAGGGCCTTGCGACACCGGCACGAAGCAACCAGCACTGCAGGGGATGCTCTCTCCGAGGCTCGGTCCGGAGGTTGCCGGACTGAAGCTTAAGCCTGCCACGCACAAAGTCCACCCGGTCACCAGGCCCGCACTGCATTGCAAGGCCATGCACTCCTTACGGCTTACGGCGCAAGTCTTCCTTCGGAGGGAATACCTCCGTGCAGGGGCCTGTGGTCTTTGCCGGGCCGTTCGGTGCGAAGGACGAGCCTGACACGCAGAGAAGCTGGCAACGACTGCGTTGAAGAGACTGAACAGAACCACGCCTCCGCTCCCATTTGGACCTTGATGTCGGGCAATCCCGGTAACAGGAAACAGATATACTGGCAGACTGGCAAGAGCTCTTGCGGCAGGCACAACTCACAACGGCCGTGCATCCTATTCAATCGAAGTGTCATTCTGTGGAAACGCTTGACTTGCAGCTGGGTGCTACGGCCGAAGCTCATCCCCATTCCACGCTTTGCAGGGTCTTGGCCTTGGATAGCACCCATCTTCCGCCCACCCGCCAAATACGTTTCTAGTCGAAGTGGTGCCTTCCAACGTCTCTTTTCAAGCTGGGCCCGGGCTGCAAAAACAATCAGCAAAGGAGAGCAAGGCCGCAAGGAAATCTCCACCCAGCATCAGCTTTGCAGCGGTTGTACATGTGCAGAGATCTTCAGCTCCGCAGACTCCACGCCATGAACCGTCCGTCGAGCTCTCTGACTGTCCAGAGCTGGGGATCCATGTCTTCCCCTGAGCTGCAACTTCAGGCGCTGCTGGCCTTAGCCGACCTGGTCCTCAACCACGGTGTATCCTCATGACTGTTCTCCGGGTTGTCCCTTTGCCGCGCGCATGGCGAAGATGAAGGAGCCGATAAAGATCAGCAAGAAAACTCCAAGCAGTACCAGTAGCAGTATCGGCTCACCCGCTTGCTGCTCAGCATGCCTTGCGCAATCTAAAGCTTCGAGTTTGTGGCTCTGATGCCGATACCCTAAGTCTGCCAGCCGATTCCTAGCCGCTCTGGCCGCTAGCCGCTAGCTGCTTCTCTAGTCTCTGAGTGGTCTCCAAGCTGCTCCCGCTGCAACTGCCGCACGCGCTCCTGAACTATACCACGCTGCACATCCCCACATCCCTACACCTCCACAGGCCATACGTGTCCACAGAGAGAACTTGCAGCTCCGGCACCTTGCGAGACGGTTCTTTGCCGCCTTCCACATCCCGCCGGCGCCGCGGCAGGTCTTCGGCATCCATCGCGCAGGCTCTCAGCAATAAGGTACCAACAAGTATTCTCAAGAATCTGCAGAATAGGACCGCTGAATGCTGCAAGCCCAATTTTCGGGGACTTGAAGACAGCACTGCATGGCTGCGGAGCATTGGGACGAAGAGACGTGAAGAACACGTGCGCGCGCCGTGCGTGGGCTCTGCTTCTCCTCGGGACCGGACTGTCCGGCTCGCGCGCCTGAGACGGAGCGGCCTCAAGGGTATCCCCAGCGGGCGAGCCAATTGGGGATCAGACTCTGCTGAGGTTTGCAAAACCACGAGCCGCTCGAGGTGTGATGGAGACATATTCGACAACAGACAGCCAAGAGTTGGGCATAACTGGCGTGAATGTCAGTCACCTGCCACTCTCCAAGGAGCAGATGCTGCAGCTCGGCTTTAGGCGTGCTGCATGTACTCCGCATGCTGCGAGTCGAGTGCCTTGAGGTTGTTGTCGAAAGTGACAGACCGTGATTCGGAAGCCTCCACCAAAAGGACCAGAACAGATGAAGCTGAAGACAACAGCTGGAAACAGCCGGAAGGTTGGTGTGTTGTCATGGGCCACGGAATGCCACGGACATGAGTGGAGCGTTGCCCACAGCACAACGCTCTCAGCTCTCGCAAGATATGAAATGTTGAAGACATCAGCCAACAAACTAAGACAATGGTGCGACTGTTGGACAATGTGTAATGGACTCTTATTGGTTCCAAAAATAGTGGTGGATAGGGCTAAACGCTGCGAAATGATGCCCGCAATGATGCTCGATAGTTAATGCTAGACAATGCTGAATTGGGTGCTGGAGTAGCGTTGCCAGATGTGGTCGAATAGAGCGAGCATCTGCTTCCGCATCCCGGGAAGCGCCAGGGCAAATTTTGCGCTACTGCGCCGATGGCTGCAAGTCTCCTCTGCTCTCTGCTTCTCCCCGACTCTACCTTGGAGTCTGCGCTGGGAGCGAAGGTGCTCGAAAGTTCCTGTCACCGTCCCGTGCAAAGAGATATCATGTCGGACAAGCGCAGGAAAGCACTTGGGACTGGATGTGACTGGATCCTGCTCATTTTCGGATTGCATAAACAACCACATCTCCCCGTTCAATCAATCCAAGATCCGATGAATAGTCGGGCAGGATCCCGCCTTTGCCGCAACACCTGCTAAGCAGCGTCGATACTTCAGCCACAGATGCATAACGCCCTCTTACTCCGCCTCCCTCCCTGGCTTTGCTCCAGGGATCCTCCCTGGCCCAGGGATCGTCCTGAGAAGCGCAGTGGTGTGGCTTTTCTACGAAGCTTCTCCCAGGGCCCGGCCTTCGCACTCGGAGCCGGCTTCGCCCAGACATCCGAGGCCGAGGACTGAGAGCGAGAGCGGAGAGCGCCACGGAGCGTCCGAAAAGCGCGGAAACAAAGTCGAAGAAAGCCCCGCCCCGCGCCTCTGGCAAGGTCTCCGAAGGAGACGGCCTGTCCAGTTCTGCCATGCGTGTCCTAGAGCTTCGAAGGAACACGGTGCCTCACACCGTAGGACGGAGCAGGGAGGGACACACTGCCATCGGCCATGACCTTGGTCAGGCCGCGATGTGACGCTTCTGTCCTGCTGCCTCTCTGCTCTTCCTGCACATGTCAAATCCAAACAAGGCCGGAAAAGAGCTCATCAAACGAGCAAGCCGAGATCTGTCGGCGTGCTCCTAAGAGCCCAGCCTCTTCGAGCCTTTTCAGAAACTGTTGCGCTGCCTGTCACGCAACTTGTCGAAGCTCGCTTCTGTTTGGACTGGATTGAGTCGGAGCGGCCTTCACACGTGACTCGATGTTCCCGAGCAACGTACAGAGTCCCTGCAGATGCCATCAGATGCCATCTGTCAGTCCAGACAAGGATTGCTTACTGCAGATCGCCTCGTCGTGCGAGGGCAGGTCACGAACCTCGATCTCACAGCCCGACATCTGGCGAACATCCTGGCATTACTGAACTCTTCCAGTTCCCTGAATGCAGGGTCTCGATTGGGACAGTGCAACGCCCCAGTCCTTGATCTCAGAGTCGGTTGTCAGCTGTTGCGGGATCAGCATTAGCGTCTCTCTCGGTGCCTTGGGTTGCTCCACTACACGGCAACAGCACCGGTGCGGCACCACTAAGGGGAAGGCCGACAACGCTGGCATGTTGTCAACGGCTATGAGAATGATTTGGATGCCTTCGGTTCCCCTTCCGGTTCTCTCTCCAATTCTCTGACAGCCATTCGTTGGGAGGCCTTCTGCCTTCGACTCAAAGCGGCCACCGATCTCGACGATGCGGTCAGTTACCGGAACGCCAGGCGGAACCTCCGTCACAGCAACATTTAATCAAGAATCCGACACACTGGGCCAAAGTGGGATACATTCGAAGGGTTGCCTTGAAGCTAGAGGCAAATTCAAAATTCAGAACTCCCAGATCATGTCTGCCTCGCCCTCCTTGAGCACTTGGATGTGGGCTCCGCTGTTCTCCTATTCATGGGGAAATTTAGGTAGTTCACGACGGGCTGCTGGGCTGCTGCAGCTAGCGCTCTTGCAGCTCTCGAATGTGCCGCCCCTGCTTTCCGATGATCCAGCCTGCTACCTGCCCAGGCGAAGCGGACAGGCTGGAAAGCAGCTTCACGAGCATCTTGGTAGCACGGACTGGCTGGTGCCCCCGAAAATCTCTAGGAATGGCAGGCCGAGCCTGCGTTGCCACTACGAACTTGGCATTGGTCCGGGGATTGCCTGACAAGCTGAAGCTGGATGGCCAATCTTGTCTTTCATTATCCTACCCTAGCCTCCTGTAGGCTGTGCAGCGCGCCCCGGAGCTCCGAAAGAAGAGCCGCCTGAGTCCTGCCATCTTGTGGACACACCGATACACTTGCACCGGACGGTTCAGAAACGAGGTACAAGTAACTTCAACACCCTTCCAACTCGGCGAGCTCCGTGCAACCTGCTTTAGTATGACACTCATTCCTCCGGACGTTCGTCCGCTTCGCTTGAAGCCAACCGGATCGGTACACTGGTCCTCTGGTCTCTGCGCTCCGGGTCGGTACCGGAAGTCTGTGGGCTGCAAACGGCCCCGATCTGCCTCGGAAGCGCTCTCTGCTCTCAATCGCAGCAGCTGAGTCTTAACAGGACCTTCGCATCAACCCGCGGCTCACGATTGCGCGCATCCGGGGTCTGCACCAAGTCTTGAAGGATGGCATTGATCTTGCTGACCGCAGAGACCACTTGACCTTCCATGTCACTTTTGGCAATTTGACAGTGACACTGTGCGACCATGCTCTGGGCCACCCGACCACCTGTGCCGGTGACACCAATGGGCTGATCATTCATGCCTGCAGAGCCCGGTAAAAAGCCATAGATTTCGGCTAGGATAATTACGCACGTAAGAGCTTTTTGTTGACTAGCTTTCACATGGTCTGTATGTCCGAAATGTGGGCGGCAAGCATGGAGTCTAAAAGACCCTCTACTCGTCGTGCTTTCAGCCAGAGCACCGATGATGCTCTCCTTCGCAACACTCACCTCTGCACCACTGAGCTCAATGACCTAACAGGGCGTGGACGCCATGGAGCTACCCGGCACTCAGGACGCTCAAGTGCTCGGTGCCTCCTTGATTTGGGCGCCTTTGCTCCCAATCACGGCAGGGGCGGCAGCGGAGGGGACCTCAGATTTCGGGACATAGGGACATGCACAGCAGGCTACAATGGGTGGCTGAGGGGCAATGATGACGAAAACACCCGGCTCCTGTAACATGCGCCGAAGAGGAGCAGTCACGAAAGCATTGTCCAAGTCTCCTGGTCAATCACCTCCTGCAGAACTCGGAGCTTGTCGACAATTCTCCGGCAAGCGGCCTGAGTTCTGACAGAAAAACTGCTCCGGCCACTCGGAAGAAAGCGTCGCGCCTCCTTCTGCTCGACGTTTCCGCTGATGGTGAGGATCTTGTCTGAAAGCCTGAGAAGGGGTGCGATCAAAGCAGGGAGTCCTCCGAGTCCTGGTACTGCGGCAGAGCTACGAAGATGGTGTGTCTCCTTCGCCAGAGAGCTCACAGCCTGCACGCTGGGGGGCGAAGGGCGAGAAAAAAAGCCCTGATGGGCCCTAGGCCTAGGCCCTAGGGACCTGCCTGCACCTGTGGCATCACAGATCTCCCGAAGCCCATCCTGGCCGGAGAAGGTGGGCACCGCATCGGCCTCGGCGTGGCACTCGGCAAGTCGAGAAACTCCGCAAGCCGACCCAAGCTCCGAAACCCTTCGAACAGTGTGCGGAATGCACTGATGCGATGTGGAACCATGTCCACCCTAGAGGCCCAAGCCGGCAACAAGGCCCTCCAAGGCACGGGGAAGTTCATGGCTTTTCGTTCTGGCGAAATTTAGGCCTTTTCAACTCTGCACGTGCAACTGGAGTCACTGGCTGGCTGAGGGATTGTGTGATTTCACGTGAGGGTTTTGCAATCTCACACGAGCAAATTGGATGAGCTCTTGGTCACATTTTGTGGCTTCAACCGCGACTGCACCTCTTGAATAGTGCGTCTGTCGAGCTTGCCTACGGTTGAGAAGTATGCTCTAACATCAGATCTGGCTCATGTTCCTCCACCGCTTTGAGCAAGGCAGCTGAAGCGGTGTGGCAGTGCCTTGCCCTCCGTGCGATTCCGTTCTGTGCTATGGCTGCTCGAAGCATCCAGATGGCTCTGATTTTCCTCCGCTCTTTCTGCAAGTGCCGGCGGAGGCTTCTCCTGAGCAGCATGCACGGCTGGAGAGCTACAGATGCACCTCGACGAGACCACGCTCTTTGAGGCCAGCTACTAAAAAGCGCTGTGCGCAGTGGTGCCTTCAGCCTCAAACAAGGGAGTGGAAATCAAGCCAGTCAAAAGGCTTCGGGAGGCTTCAAATCCGCTTCTGAGCTTCCTGCTTCCACTGTTCACTTGCGCTCCACCTGCGACTGGACAGTGGCACAACAAACTGCAACGAAGAAAGGCGGGCGCTGCTTCCCTGCCTGGTCCCTGACCTCCAGACGCCTGCACCCGACATCTCGCTATCACGCAAGACTGAAACACTTTTGCAAGCGTAGCGGCAGGCGGCGAAGTGCAAACGAAATCGCATTCCAGATCGAAACATCTCAGACATCGATCGGAGCGAATCGTTGCGTATCACCCCACCACTCCAATATGTAAGAATAAATACAGGGTGGTGTGGGCGGGCTGAAAAGCTTGAAAGAACCTCGAGCGGGCAACAGCTGCGGTTGTCTGCTGTTGCCGCTCGTACATGTCACTCCGTGCACACGTGCACTACACGACATCTCGCTATCACGCAAGACTGAAACACTTTTGCAAGCGTAGCGGCAGGCGGCGAAGTGCAAACGAAATCGCATTCCAGATCGACACATCTCAGACATCGATCGGAGCGAATCGTTGCGTATCACCATAGGTGTGCCGCCTGCACCATTAAAGCACACCGGTAGCCCTAAACCTCTCGGAGCCCGTCAGAAGCTCTTCGAAAAGACTGTCCCAATCTCGTTCTAGTTCGATCCAACCTTCGGCTCGAGCGTGGCGAAGGTCACCGCGGCTGACGGAGTCGCTGACGTTGGCTGACGACGTAACACGCTGCCATGCTGGGCGAAAGGATTGTGCCTCCAAGAAGCGCCATGCATGTTGTAGCAAGCAGTTGATCGACTCATCCTTGCCAAAGCCTCGAGTGAGAGCGTGGCGTGCGGGTTCGTTGTCCACGAAGAGCATGACGTGTCGGTCGAGCTGGTCCTCCATGGCGAACAGAGGCAAGATCTGAGCCACGATCTCGAGCATGTATATGTATGCCCGGCGACTCGTGAATGCTCGCACGAACCAGTACGGTACTCTTCCGTGAGCGAAGTAGGTCTGTCCCTGTACGGTAACCACAAAGCCCCATCCGTTGCGGAGTGTCTCCGGGGGTGTCCTTCCCCAGTTGGGAATGTCCTCGTCGGAGGGTTTCCAGTCCTTGTCGAAGAGGTTGAAGAACGCGTCGGCGTAGAGGACCGAGTGCGCCTCTTTGTCGAAAGGAAAGACCTTGGGCGTTGCGTGCCGCAAGCTCCAGCGTAATAGTCCGATCCCGTGGCGAAGCGGTCCATCGAGTCTCCAATCGCGATGATGACGACCAGCGCCTGTGAGTCGAGCTCTGCGAAACAGGGGCCGAAGAGCTGCAGCGTGCGAGCGACCTTGAAGTGACTGACAGTAAAACTGTAGTTTCCCCGCGAGGCTGGCTGCTTCGTGGGGTCTCAAGCGGTCCTGAGTGAGCACGTCCGCGAGCGCCTCGTCGAGCCTCTGTCTCCGCTCTTCTGTGCCCTGCACTGTGACGGACTCGTGGGACACAAGAATGTCGACGCCTTGGATGACCTGTCGCGGGGCCGGCGGTTGCTCCTTAGACTGCTTAAAAGAAAAACCCAATGCTTTGCAAAGTCGACGCGAAGCGTCGAAGGACGAGTTGGCGAGCGTGGTGACCTCTGCGCTGCCGAAATCATCGACAAAGTGTAGCGCGGGCGTGAAAATGCATGCGCGGCATAACCAGCCCATGAGGTCCGCTATTCTGCAATAGGACCACACACTCGCCACTGACCCAAACATTAGAACTGTATGGCGCCAGAGAGTCACTCCTTCGGGCGTCGCGAGAACCACGTAGGTGTGCGACGGGTCGAGCGCTGGGAGCTGTCTGTAGGCCGACTCGTGATCAAGGCCCCATATGAAGATCTCGGCCTGCGGGTCGATCTCCTTGATGGCGCGAACCAGCTGCACGTAGGAGTTGACGTCGTGGTACGGCGGGGAGTCCTCCGCTGCGACCGTGGCGTTAGCGAAAGAACGTCTCCAGTCCTCGGCGCGGCGTACTTTGGGGCGGCCATCGGACCCGACCTGGTGGACTGCGAACGCGAAGCACGTCGGCTGGTGTTCGCCTGGGCCCTCGAGTAGCTTGCTTGTGTGCTCGTGCGATGCGAGCGGCACTGCGCTTTTGGGCCAGTCCGAAGGGCTGGTGAACGGGCCTTCCATGCGCCCGAGTGACACATCGGCTGCTATCTCGTCTGCCATCTGCTTCCAGCAGGGGTCGACGCGGCATCGACGAAGCTTGTCGACGACGTACTGCTTGTTCTTGACCATGAACTCCGGGAGGTCCAGAGGGTTGGCGTAGCGGTCGTCGTTGCGTCGTTTCCAGCCAAGTCCTGGAGCCAGAGGTCCTAGAAGTCGAAAACCATGTGTGAGCTCGTCGAAAATGCCGAGGTCCTGCCAACCAAACAGTTCACAGATTCTGCGGAGCGCGGGCAGCTGCAAGGTGCACACTCCTGTGGTGCTCCGGTAGGCCTTCTGTACGTGAGGGCGGAGGCTCTGGTACCAAGACCTGGTCTCGTCTTCCATGTCCACAACCATCTCTTCGACCTGTTCCACGACTGCGAGGCGTAGTTCTGCCAAGTGGGCACGCATCTGGAACCAAATGCGAATCCACTGTTGCAAACCGGGCTCCATGAGTGCGTCGCGGTGATCCGGATGGGGCATGTGTCGTGACAACTTCCAGTGCTCCGCGGGGTCCTGCAGGTAGGAGAGGTCAAAGGAGTCGTAGTCGCCAGGTCCCGGGCCTAGGAGTGGCGGGCGACCTTGCCACAAACCAGCTGCTATGTCGAGTGCGGTTCCTCCTAGCGGGTTGAGCTCCTTGTCCGCCTTTGCGGGCGTCGCGGCAAACATGGCCATGATGAAGATCAGGCGCGCGGCTCCAGCGTGCCAGCCATTGGCTAGCGCTTTGTGGCGCTCGTGCTCGGAGAGCTTGCTGGTCCAATCCTTGTGGCAAGTGATGCCATTGCTCCTTCACCGATGGTGGAGGAATCACGAAGCGGCCTTGACTGTCCGCCATCATGACGCCTGCTTCGTAATGCCAAGGAGCGAATCGTTGTCGATCGGCACGCCATCGTTGATTCGCTTCACTGCTGATCTTGCCCTTACAGCTGCGTGGAGCGGGGCGTCCTTGTGGGTCGTCTGAAGGTGTTGTGAGACACGGGAGCGGCTTGCCCTCCTCGACCAGGCACCTCGGCAAAGAAAGTCCTTCGGTCTCGAAAGCATGCGGGTCGTCCTTGACGAGGTCGAAGTGCACTCGTGGGATGCCTTGCATAGTCGTCCACCGAATGCGAAGAGGACAATCGGGTCGATGGGCGATTTCCTGCCATGGCACCCTGCACCACCAGACTCTTGGTCGGGATATGGTGCCGAAGTCTGCGGCGTCATGGACCACGGCGGGCGAGTCGAGGGACTTCTCGATCTTGCGCATATCCGCTCTGTTCTGTGGGATGACGTTCTCCACCATGACGACGGCGCGGGGTCTTTGCCATCTCTTTTCCAAATCCACCACTAGCTGGGCGAATCGAGCGAACTTGGATCCCTCCGTACCTTGGTGACGAGGCGCGTCTGAGCGAATGCGTGAAAAGTCATGACATGGAGGGCCTCCTGCTATGACCACAGTCGCTCGTCCTGCGGGGTCCAGCTCCTGAACCAAGTCGTGCAAAGACTCGGGCGTCTCCTGGTCGAAGTCGCCACGTTGCACCACTTCAGGGAAGTGGTCGTGTAACAGCTTCTTCAAGTTGGGGTCGATCTCCCACGATGCGCCACGCCACTGGAGACCATTGCTGCTGCAGTACTCGTCGCAAATCAAACAAGCGGTGCCGAGGCCATCGAAGAAACTGAGCATGACGATGTCGGGCGGGCGATCGCCGTTCTTGATGCGGATGGTCTCGGCCTTGCTGCGGAGCGTCACTGACTGGGGTGGCTTTTGCTTGTCGTCGTAGGGAGATCTTCGGGAGCGGGGCAATGGCGACCTCGAGCGAGCGAAAACTTGGCTGTCTTCGCTTTGCGGTGGGTCGGGTCCACCCCTGTGGGATGGCCCGTGCTGTCCCTATTCCTGCTGCTGCCATTGCTTGCGGCTGTCGTGCTGCTGTCGCCAATCAGTCTGGCGCCATTGCGATCTGTCGTCGTCGTGCTGGCGACCTTTGCCGTGACCTTGCCAGTGTGGGCGATCTTCCTCATGTTGGCGACCGCGGCCTTGGTAGTGGTTCCACTGGCGATCGTATTGAGGTTGGTAGCGATGCTTTCCGCCACCCTTGCCATTCCCTTTGCCTTCCGAGCGCTCCCACCACCGCTGCTGGCCTTTGCCGTTTCGACCCTTGCCTCGGCCTCTGCCTCCACGAGGGATGTCGTGCCAAGGGGTCTCGGTGTTCCTTGGGGCGCGTGCGGGGCGATCTGGCTGAACTTCTGTGCTCATGGCCTCTTGGAGAAGCTGGCTGTCGGCCATGATCTCGTGCGCGATGTCCCTGAAAGGCTGCTTCTTGCGCAGCGCGAGAGCGATGCGC